TTAAAACTTAAAAAAGTACTTAACATATGGACTCCTTATGATTAGTAATATTCATAAGATGTAAAGATAGTAAAATTAAATGTTTGTGTTGCCAGAAAAATTTAATAAAGCGAGTATAATTGTTTCAAGTACTGGCTGAACTATGTGTGAATTACTATTTTTATAAAAATGATATCTAAAGTAAATTAAATTATAAAGTATTAAATTACTATACGGTTTTAGTCAAATATTATATTTGCAAAAGTACCAATATCACTTACCCATACGTTGCTAACAGCGGGTAAGACAAACAAAGCAAATCTGGAGCGAGAACCGATAGATCTTTGCTAATAGCTTATTGAAGAGCAATCAAAGCCTGTGTAAATTCTGTTAATCTAGATTAATAATTACTTTCTGTCTAAAATAATCTATGCTTTAGCTCTAAGTTTTAGAAACATTTATACAAAATTCCATATGAACTCCCGTGCTCTGTGCGAATAAAAATTTCTTATTTTTCTAAAAAAAATATTCAAGTCGTTAGGTTATAGAAAAACAATTCCGTGAAACAAAAACATATTGTCTTAGTCTCTTAAAAATCAGGAATAACGATAATTATGTATATGTTTGATAATATTTTAATTGTTAATCACTAGCTGTTCGTTACTTTAAGAATTTCAAGTTTAAATCACGTTATAAAATTCACAATTGATACGCATTTTGTATAAGTTTAAACAGAAACAAAGTTTCATGACGAAGTCTGCAATGTCTGCGTGAACTCTATAACATGTTTAAGAACTACTTATGAGTGTTAAGTCTTTAACTACTTACCTGTAGTCGTAATACTTCATATAAAGTTGTTTTTAATATAATATAACTTTTTTTTAATATAACATCCTGCTTAAAATTTGTATTACATCCATTATTGTTAATGTTATTAAATTAGATATCGCCAGGTCTATAACCTAAAAAGTGTACTTACTGAATTTTTGATTACAAACATCTTACATATTCGTAACAATATGGACGAAGTCTCAGACAAAGCTTGTATGTGGTAATTTATTAAAACATAAAATAATTGTGGTCGACTTATCTTGTGAGTGAGAACGAGAACTGATAAGTAGCGCTCGTTCATTCGAAGTTGAATTTCGTTTCTCATTCCCCGGCGAAGTTCGACTTTGTCATGTTTTAAAGATGCTTCCAAGTAGTTGACTCAATGTGCTCGAGTTGAGGCAACTTGAAAATTTACAAAGAACTCTGAAACTAGATAAGTTAGCGAACGTTTTTCTCCTGTACCGACAACATCTTTGTTTGATTTCACCTGATTTTACATATTCAATTTACATTACTTTAGTCCTTTGATCTACCATTTCTGGGATAAACGTATTTGAAGGGATATTTAAAGCCAGCTCGTGAATAATCCTACAATTTTTCAACGGTCCTTTTATAGGAGGCCATTATTAATTAACGACTTGCCGAGCAGACTATATTTTACCTGGCTACTGGATTGTCCTGCAAAGCTCTACGCTTTAATCGCCCCTAATACGTCTAAAATAAACTCTCAACGGGAACTGAAAGAAGAAATATTTTTGTTTTGCGGCAAATGCTTTATGTCTTTTAAAGGTATCAACATAAGTTTAAACTCTTCCACTACAGCGATCTAATTCAGAGCTGAACAATAACTATAAACATGTACTGTAACACTGTAATGAATTGGGTTCCATTGTCCTAGATCATACAAGTATACTACATCAATAGAATTCACAAAATGCGTATAACATATGCCAAGCTCCTTATTCACTTCAGCTTTGAGAAAGGCCGCGCTTGTTTCAAACTTAAAAGCCGTTTCAAATAGTGCGTCCTAATTTACTCCAGCTCGTAAACAATACATTACGCAATATGAGCCTAATCTTACTTCTTACTGATGTTACTGTTACAAATGCGAAAGCTTCGATGATGGACGGTTGTTTGTTGCTGCAGAAGGGATCTCAAATAATTTTGTCTTTTTAAATCCACGCGAATGGAGTCGCGGGCGAAAGCTAGTTCCAAATAAGAAAACGGTGACAGAGTACCTAATTTTTTTACAAACACCCAATTTTAAAGTTAAGCAATAGCTATTTTTATTGAAATTTCAATTCGATTGATATTCGGTTGTATAAGGTTGTAATCTTCGATCGATCGATCGATCTTAAAATTGTAATTTAAAGATTAGTAAATTATCAATCTATTGTAATCATAATCTCTATTAAAAGTATTTTATGTGCTTTATAGTTTTTAGATGTCTAAAACCCTCATCTGGAAAAAACCCTTTCTCAAAGATGAAAATCATGCCCCCTATGTCTCTTACTCCAGGATCTTTAGTTATTCATAAACTACTAGTATAATAATTAAACAAACATGATGATTAATTTTAGAACAAAACAATATTTATTTTAAAAAAAGGAGATAAAAAAAAACTTTCTAGATTTAAAAAAATAAATGACAATTTGTAACACTAGAGAGAACTCCATTTATTCATAAAATTAAATACATCTGCAGAACCAATTCACTTCTCTGTTCACTGCAAACTTCAGATCAAATGAACACTCCCTGTCATTCTCTATGCACCAGAACATATATAGCTAAGCAACCCAATACAGCAAACTGAAACACATGAAAAAACATTATTAAAATAGTTTCTTTTTATAAAATACATCCTTCTCAATCTCACTTATATTTGGATAATAATAACCGATGGAGTCAGGGCAAAAGCAAGTTTAAAATAATACAAAGTATAGAAAACAAATATGAAACAATAAGCAAAATAATAAAAATAAACGCTAGCTGTGGTTCGCGACTTAGCCTCCATGAATTAAAAACGTAGCTTTTTAATGATGAAAGAATATTTGAAATCAACCCAGTAGTTTTTGAGTTATTTCAATACATACAAAAATCTAAATCTTTCCTCTTTATAATATCAGAATAGATAAGATAAATAAATAACAAACTATAAAATAATACAAACTACAAATAAAATATTAAATATAATCTTATATAATTTTTCAAAACTAGTACAAAGCTTGTGCTCAAACATTTTTTCATTTCGGTGGATTCGGGTGGCCGCTTGCTCGTTTGTTACCTTATATCATAAAAAAAAAACCTAATAATAAAGCTTTTTAGCTGGGATTAAACCCTGAGATGCCTGTATATTGCTGAACCATTGGGTATCTGACACTAAGGAAATTTTTACTAAATTTTTGTCATGTTGCCAGATTCTGTATTTAGAAAATGTTGGTAACCATGCATTATCATTTACATTACTTCAGTTCAACAAAATTTGAAAACTAAGAATTCAATAAATTACCTTAAACTTTGGGTATTCATTCATATAAATTGTGACCATACCAACATATGGCAAGAAACCTCTAGCACGGCCTACTACATCCTTTTTAGTTAACCACAGCTGTCCCTGTGCATACAATCCTCTGTCGTCTACACTATTGTTGTCTCCTTTAGTAAGGAACTTTACAGTGCCGTTATTTCTGAAAATAAAAGAAATAATTAGTAAATTTTAGATTCCATGAAATAGACTTCCAATAAACTTAATTATTTTAAGGCTTTGGAGTGTAATGTTGGTCAGGTAAACACTACCCTGGCTCCCTCACCTAGATACAAGTTCAGTTCAGTATGGTAATGTAGTTGGCCAACTTTTGTTTAAGAAGTAAATTAGATTGTTAAATATATGATTTGTTAGAAGACTTATTCGATTTTATGGTAATATGACAAAACCTCTTTTATAAATTAAAAAATTAAATATAAACTATAAAGGCTTAAATGAGCAGTATGGAGGGTACTCTATTTCAGTTAAAATATTTGTGTTCAATTTAAGTTAGCTTGTCATTATTAGGCAAAAAAATACATTTTTTTCATGTTAAATATGTTTGAGTTTAAAAATAAAATTATTTCAATCTAAATATTAGCTACTACATGGTATTGTTTGCAAACCACAAAAATGAAATGACAAAGTAATGTAATTTAAAACCAGGTTGATATGGTGATACTAATAATAACAAACATCTTACTTTTCATGAAGCTTCAGAACTCTGTGTACAATTGGAATATCTCTTCCTTCCACTTTAAAAACAACGATTTCTCCAACACGCACAGGCTCCTCCGGGTAATTTGTTAAAAACAAAAGATCCCCCCTATGAAATGCTGGCTCCATGCTTCCAGACAACACAACTACGATCGGACTCTCACTGCCAGTAACAACCATTAAGCCCTTCCATATCATTAGGGCAGATGATACTATCATACCAAAACTAAGTACTTGGTAAATAAACTGAAAAATAAAATATTATAAGCGTTAAACACCCGGCACGATGGTCACGTCATCTGAATTGTGAATAAAATAGTACCTGACGCTTGTTCATGCGCTTTACATCGTCAAATAAACTGTCCAGCATTTTGGATGATATTTGTATTGCAGTATAAATAAATTAATATAAAAGTTTGAATAATGCTACATTAAGTATTCAATACCAATTTTGTGACAACGATAGTTGAGTCGATTTTGCACCACGTCAGATCCTAACGTCAAAAAGACCATGATGTTTTGAATCTGTGGTTGTGACGATGACCAATTGTGTTGCCACTTAGTATTTACCTGTTAAAATAAAGCCGAGCACCATATCCTCTTTGAGCACTACTAAAGTAGAACTAAATTGTATCTCTGTATGTATGTATGTACAAAAAAAATCTTCTGTTTGTATAAAAATTGGGTTGGTTTGAAACAAAATAGCAAATAGTCCTTCTCGCTTTCTTAAGGCGCTAAATTCATTTTATACGAAGGCAAAAGGGTCGTTATTAAGCCGTATAAAGCTGAATCCCGTTGTAGAAAAAAAGATTCTCGTTACAGCCACGTAATACCTAGCCCCTGCAGGGTACAAACATCTTACTTACAAAAATTAAAGACTTCAATAATTTTTAAAACTATACCGTGGTCAATGTTTTAGGATATTTATTTAGAAAAAATAATAGAGCAATTGACGAACTGCATTTTATTAATTGCTTCATTGAGTAAATCAGTTATGTATTAATGATTAATAAACTTTCAATTACACAATTATGCGATATAATTAAATTATTTATCTTGACATTTCAACATCTGTATTTTCAATAAATTTTAATTTTATTGAAATTGTATTTGGAGTTGTGATATCAGCAACCAGTATTTCTCCTCCATTGTAAAGACCCAATTCAGTTATTTTTTTCTTTAAGTTATCTCTGGTTCTTTCTTCAATGCTTTTGATTGAAGGCATATATAAAGTCTTATTGCGCCCATTAATGACTGTTGTAATTCCTAAAAAAAAATAATAATATGAAATTTTAATATTGAAAAAAAAATCCAAATATAACTTGAACTATTATTATATCACTCAAAAACTAGCATATCAAAATACTTTTAATGTAAATTTAAATAACAAACCTGGATTCTTCATCTGAAAACCTGTATCATCTTTAAGTTTCTGATATATGTCCATCAGCACCGCTCCAGGCTCTACATCTAGTACTCGTGTTGTATTACTGCATGCCACACAGTCAGGTTTCCTCTCCGCATTAAATGTGTAAGTGTAGACTCCATCGGCCATATTTAGTACCATATAATTATTCATGTTGGTACAACAAGATGATGCTAGTTTAAACACCTAGGATATAAAGAATACATGATTTTTAAAGTAAAATGTTGCTATAAAACAATATATACCATATAAAGACAAGTCTGGTAACACCTATGGATAGAAATAAATCATTCAAGTTTAGTTTAAACTAATTTAAATTAAAGTTCACTAATTCACAATTTAAAAAATTTGCAGCAATTGAGTACATAAAAAATTTTCTTATGTAAAAAACATTGTGTAGGGAAAAACCATGTTAGTACACAAGGATGGAGATTTACAGCCTTACAAATAAATGCTGCATAAAGTTAAACTTAGGAATAAATTGACTATAAGCAAATATTACTACAAATTTGGCTTATACTCAGTTTATTCTTAAGTTTAACTTTATACTACATTTATTTGTAAGGCTGTTATTCTTTTACTTTGGATCTTGACTTAAAATAAATTATATAGAATGTACCTCAGTTGCACATGTAGCTGCTATAGCTGCATTAGTGCTTGCCACTGCTGGTATAATATTCTTCAGAACACCCTGAGTAAGTCTGTATGTAACCGAAGTGATTCCATGCTTCATAGCTCTTTCTTGTGCCTTTTCAAATACCCAACCAACATGTTGGGGGTCATCTCCATCTAAAGGAGTAGAAGAACCCCAAGGATTTTCTTTAGACCACTGAATTACTTTGACATATTCAATGCAGTGTTCGGGCAATCTGAAACAAGTACATGTATGAAGTTCCAGAAATATTGTCGTCTCATTTATCACATATTTGTTTAGTCATTCTTAACCAAATATTTTGGATACTATTAAAAATTCAGATTTTGCTAGCATCTATAAAAGCCAGCTGGCATATTTCAAAATAAAGAAATAAAATCAAACCTTGGTGTATTAGCTATAGTGCATAAAGGGAAAGTCTTTTGTGGAGGATATAGATCAAGAGTGCATTCTATACAAGCACTTAATCCTGGCAAAATAACTCTTGCATTGCCTTTAAATCCTTCAGTACCGCCATCAACCAATGGAATGACACTACTTTGATCAAGACTTCCTGAAACAAACAAGAAATAAAGGATTAAAATAATATATTTTAAACATTTACTATTAAATACAGTAAATGTGGATGGCTATAAAGACAGAGGAAGACCAAAGAAAGTATGGATGGATTGTGTGTAAGAGAATATGCTTAAGGGAGTGGATTCAGATATGATGGCTGATAGAAATGTTTGTAAGAGAAGCACATACTGTGCCGACCCTCCATAAGGGATAAGGGCAAGTTGATGATGAACAGTGAAAGAAATCTGTATTAAAATACTTTACTATCATCATTGTACTGCAACAAGTTCATAAGCATTCCATTAAGCCATCTTCTTGCAACAATTGAATCTAGTCCACAGACAATTATATGAAATTGACGATAGAAGCCTTCATCCAGATCTTGAATAGCACAATGATGTGCCACTGCCTCACAACCAGGAACTCTGAAAATATTATCATTAATAATATTAAAGACCCGTTAAATTAGAATAATTTACTTCCAAGATTCAAAAACGAATGTACCTTTTATTCACAAATTCAACAGCACATTTTGCTTTTGATGAACCTATGTCAGACTTTCTAAAAAGAAATTGTCTGTTTAAATTTGATAATTCAATGGTGTCCATGTCCACTATGTGGATTTTTTTAAAGCCCATTAATGCTAAATCCTTAAGTAATTCACAGCCAAGTCCTCCAGCGCCAACTACCAAAATCTTACAAGAATCCATGAGAAACTCTAATATATCTGGTGATGGCTCAAAATCTGGATGACAAAATGGGCCGGATCTTTCTAGTAATTTTCGTATATTGTGCCATCGTCTTTGTTGTTCGGGAACGTGAGCCTCTGTTGTAGCCATTCTTTATATCTACCCTGATAGAAATAATCCAAGAGCCGGTAAAATACGTTCTTTTCACTAGGCTATTATAGGCTGGCAAATTCGCAAACCGTCAACGAAAAATATCTGCGAAATATTAAATAGTGTAATATAATGTATTCTGTGAAATATATTGTTAACTATTAGCGAAACAGAAGTGCCTAAATTGCTAGATAATGTTTTAGCATTGGCGAATTTGCAATTTTGCAAATCAAACCCAATATTACCCGTGCAAGTCCAATTGACATTGACAGTTTTTGAACTTTTTCAAACATCCAGAGTTGTACTGTGTCTATGACTAAACATGATCGTATCGAAATCAAAGTGTGGTTATGATGATCGATATCGAAAGTCCGATAAACCATTAGTAGTCCGGAATTTTCTAGAGTTATACAATTATTTATGTATGTTTTAAAATTGTACCAAAGCGAATTTTGTAGGTTATCAGCGCAGCCACCTATTTGTTATAGAAAATAGATATTTGCTGAATTACTGAGCACCATCATTTTATAGAAGAAGGAGTAAAAATCCGCCAGTTTTCACTATCGAAACTCCTGTACTAATGACATATTGCTATCTATTTCATTCTCTTTAAAAAGACACCAACAGAAATAACAGTGTCTTTTTCTATTAATGTTTTACGGAAATAGAAGCATATGACATGTCCTTATTTCTTTACGAAAAAGTGGGAAAGTTAAGATTTAGAACAGTGTGAAATAAAAAATATTTATGTAAAAACAAGGTTTTCATGTTATTTATCAGTTTAATGTTTACAAAATTTAATTGTTATTGCATTATAGATATTTATACACATAGTCCTCCCTATTTGTAGTGGGTCTTTGTGTTGCAATTTTTCAAAAATTAATAATGCATGACAATGAAAATAAAAATTTTCTTTCTGTTTTAACAAATTGAATAACATGTCTTTCTTGTAAATAGAAATATTTTACTATCAAGAAATTATTTATAAAATGTAACTTTAACAGATAATAATTGTTGTCTAACATTGTACTTGGCTGGTCAGAGTACATTCATTTGTTAAATATGGAGGTGTGATGGAGGTGCAATTGTCGAAATATTGCGTTTTTCAAGTTAGCGGTTTCCAAGATTTTCTAGTACGTATTTTTATTTTAGTTGGTGCATAGTTTTCTGTATCTCTTAAAACATAAAACCCATATAGTTAAGTAATGCTAAAACTTACATTATCTTAAATATTTGAGGGAGAGACTTGTAGTCTAATAGTACCAGAGTAGGCAATACTCTGTCCTATACCATGCTTGATTTGACCATTATGTATTAAGTATTTTTGTTTCAAAGCTTAAATTCAATGTTTAAATTCTTTATAAACTAAATGAATTGTCTTAAATTTAAAACTTTTTTAAAAAGAACGTAATGAATTGTAACAAGTCATTGGCCTTATTCAGTAATGATAACCGATCGTTTAGTCGTGTTATGAATAGGCATAACTTTATTTGCCTTGTTTTAATTACAAACTTTAAGTTTTAATATAGTTATATGGATATCTTCGAAAAAGATCGAATGTGTTACATCACTGTATACTAAATATAGGAAGTTGATGCAGTACAACCTCATGGTATTTTTTTATTTGATAGATGACAGGATGGCTGGTAATAAAATTAACACTAAATCTAAAGGGAAAGAAGACAAGTCTAAAGTGGGAAAGGGTACCATTCAAACATCTGAAGAAGCAGATGACTTGGATTACACATTACTCAGAAAACCTATTCTTACAAGTGTGACAGGTTTTGCTCAGGCCAGAAAAATATTTGATTTTGCTACAGAAGAGGTAAGTACATATTATTAAGACAAATGATATTTTTTAACTTTGAATTATAAAATTTTAATTACTTATTTATTTTTACAGCTAAAAAGTTTACTGTCCACTGAATGTGATTTGATATATGAGTGTAAAGTATGTCGAAATTTATTCAGAAGTTTGGCTAATTTTATATCACATAAGCGTATGTATTGTAAAGACAAGTTTAATTCCTCTGTACACAGTCATTTTGTGAACCCAACTTGTATGGTAAGTTAAATGAAATCATTTTTTTATATATATACTAATATTATAAGCAGGAAATATTTTATAAGTGCATTATTAACAGACAATATCTTTTTAGATTAATGAAATTAACAAAATAAAACAGCTAGAAGATGAATATCAAGAGTCATTGAAGGTTACAAGTAATCAAGAATTGGTTGAAACAGATGAAACGGATGACCGTATACCACTTACAAAAGATTTGACTGCAATAGTAGAAAAAATAGGTGTAAGCAAAGGAGTTAGAGAAAATACAAATGAAGACCAAGAATTGTTCCTACAAAATATTCCGAAGACTTCTGTTGCTGTGTATCAAAATGTTAATTTTAATAATGAAAATAATTGTGATATACGTACTCAGGTATGTTTATATTTTAAATATTAAATAATATACTTATATTTTTTATATTAAAAACTTAGTAGTTATGCCAGTATAACCACTGGTTGAAGCGTCCTGCTGTGTCCTTATTAAAAGTGATTATAAAATGAGTTTCTGTTAAATAAAATAATACTCTTACATATAAATCTAATAAGATTAGTAATATATAGGTAGTGATTGTTGATATTTTATAATATGAATTAGGTAGAATGCATTATCAAATTTTTAAAGTTTTAAATTTAAGAAAATCATGTTTCCATATACCCACCCATAAATATGGTAATTTTATTGTAGTATATATTTTTCTTAAATGTACATTTCATTATAAAAAGACCAAATTTAAGTGCAATTCATTAAGAGATTTATGTTAAAAATATAGGTAAGTATTCTTGTTAATGAAAGAAGTTTTATTTCTAGTACAAGCTTCATGTTTATATTGTATTTCCACATCCAGTGTGTTCATATTTATAATTGCAAACTTAATATTAATTGGAATTGAGCACATTCAATAATTTAAATAATATTTCATTACAATAATAAATCGCACCGCGTAATTTCTCTATTGATAGGTGTCGATTTCTAACTCTTTATAATAATAAATTCGTCGAATTACGTAAGATACGTAAATTACATAAACATGCGTAAAAGATAAAACTTGTAACTCTGTAGTTTAAACTCTAAACACGATCTGACGGCCGACCTTCGAATTTTAGATACCTTTTACCAATGTATGTTTTGTATTCCTTCTTCACACCTACTAAGATATTTTACGCATTTTGACCCATACGAAAGGAGTACATATAATTATAGATGTAACAATTTCATCGAAAGGATCGATTTAATTCTCTAAGTTTCATTTACTTTTATTTCTATTTCCAGGTTAACGAGCTTGATAATATTTTATCACAAAATAAGGCTGTTTTACAACATGATGGCAAATTTACTATACAAAACTCTATGGAAACAAATATTACAAATGGAGAACATGAGAATGTTATTCAAATTAGTGACGACGATGATAATGAAGAGACCAATAGTCTTAAGTGTAGAATATGTAAGTACACATTCAAGATACATACATGTGTACAAAATTGAATCTTTATTTCCCCTGGTCACTGCATCACGCGTGAACAGCCAGACTATGCCCCTGTATTTTTTGTTGTGTTTGTTATTGTCTAGAGGTTTTTATAAAAAATTAAGAAATTTGGATCTTGATTCAATTTGCAAAAAAAAATCATAGTACAGAATGCCATCTTATTAAGTTTGGTTTTTACTTCCACGCTAAAATAGTCAGACAAGAGCAAGTTAAAATAAAATAAGTAGTAAATTCAACATTAATAAGTAAAAGATTCCTAAATCTAAGAGTCCAGTTTCTGTTTGGAAAATCCTGAAAAAGGCCTTTCGGTAACCTTATAAAATTTTACTGTTTTCGTTACAAATATCATTTATTTTAATGTACTTTCAGGCGATCTTCAATTTTCGACGCTAAAGACACTGAAGTTCCACATGAAGTATAAACACTTGGAGAGTCGATTGGTTTATCCATGTCCAGACTGCTTGGAGATATTTTCTACCTCATGGAGTGTTTACAGGCACTTGTTTAAAGTTCATAGGTAAAGGTTCAATATTATAATTAAGAATTAGTAGTTTCCAAAATCAGAAGAAAAGAAAAAAAAGCAAAGAAAGTCGGCAGACCAAAACAACGTTGGAGAGACGATATCGTCACATGAAGTGGGAAAAGAATGGATGAAAAAAGGAAGAGATAGGGACTTATGGAAAAGGTTGGAGGAGGCCTATACCCAGAATTTGGTCCAGTTACTGGAACAAAAAGGCTAAGTAAATAAATAAAAAATCAGAATAGTCGGTTATTGAACGTATTTTAACAAAACGTAGCAGAAAAGCAATAAGCTCACTTGTTTATTGAACAATTTTACTATGTGAGACGACTTTTTAATATAAACTTTTTTCACAATAAGCATGTATGTGAATAAATCATATGTTAGCCGATTTTTGCAAAAATGGCATCTAAATTACATGTGAATGTTATTTTGTTACGGGAATAACGTAATTTTTTTTTTACTTCAGAAAAACCGCAGCACAGATCAGGAGATTACGCGAGTCGATACAATCAAAAGCGTTCAGAATGAACAACCCGCCCGCTTTTTATGAGAAGAGGAAGAGAGAAAACAATAACAAGCCTTCCACACCACAAAAGATCACTGAAGAAGAGAGATTGGAACAAGAAAATCAGGTAATCAAACGTTATACGATTTACGTAGAGATGTAAATTGATGTACAAACTTAGGTGGATGATATTTAAATTTACAATTATTAAAATGATAATGACCAATTTAAATATTAGGTAGGTTAAATTCAAATAAAACTGTACATCGATTCTCGCTATCACCTACTTTCAAGGTTTTATTATACTTTGGGACAAATTACCTGATTGTTATGAAATTCTGCGTAGTAAAGATCACACAGCCACCATCATTAACCCTTTTCCCGTTATTATTTAGATTTTTTAACGGGTTACTAGTGCACACATAAGTAATTTCGAATTTTTGATGTACTAGTTTCTTATCGCGACATCGTCCGCTCGGAATTGAAGCAAATTACACTAATAAGAGAATTTTTTCCCAATACCAATTTACTCATCCCCTAAGTTTAAAATAATCTTAAATGTATATAGCTCACATTCTATTAGATATAGATTAATATCACTAGTTACAATTATATTGTTTAAAGGCATGTATGTATGTATGTATGTATGTATGTATGTACTCAGGCGTGGATGGACAACATGGAGGGTGACGGCGAGTTGCCGCGCTGCGGCGGGTGCGGGCGCACGTTCGAGCGGCGCGCCGCGCTGGCCGCGCACACGCACACCTGCCCGCCGCGCAGCCGCGCGCTCGCCCGCCGCAGCGACACCAAGAAGATTGAAATACAGATACGCAAGGACTACAATAAAGGACCCTCCGGGATCACACTGCCTCTTAAGACGACCGAAAATGGTAACATTCTCAATCAAGTGGTGTTTTTTTTTCTTATACCATAATGTGGCAAACGAGCAAGCGGCCACCTGAATTCGGCGAAATGGCGAAATGACCGCTGCCATAGACATTCGCAACAGCGAATGCGTCGCCTACTCTTAATAGACGAAAGAGGAGACGCATATTTCCCCTTCTTATGCGTCTCTTCCACTGTCAAATCCACGTTCCCTTCCCATCCTTTTTTTGTAAGAAAAATAGTGGGAAGGGATTAAAGTTGGGCCTCCGGCACCACCTAAACAGTTAAATTGACTGCGAAAAAATCGACAATCGCAAAACAGGTGTGCGATAGTTTAGTCAAACCTGTGCGCGCGCTCTAAAGGTCCAATCGGGATAAAACTTATCTGATAGACTAACGACTAAACACTGAAACGACATTGAAATACAGACACCGTCTGAAATGATAAGACCAGGCATGAGTTTCAAATTCCAATAAAATTTTGACTTATATGATTGTAAGCGTTATGATAACTGTTTAAGATTCGTATCAGTATTCGGTCATTTGTCTCAACATATCTTATAACAGCAACGAGAATTTAAAATCTAAATGTAAAAGGACACATTGAGAGCATCTTATTAAATCGTTTTTTTTTTCCTTTTTAGAAAATAAGATCACCAAAGAAGAAGTTAAAACCACACCAAAACCGACTTCCGAGCAATTAAAACTCGAGGAAGTAACGCACGAATCCGCAACAATAATGAGGAGTGAACCTGCAGTCAGTTCTAGACAAGCTGATGTGAAAGAACTTCCAGAAAAGAGAACTATGAATAATTCTCATAACTTTAGGCCGAAGTTGCCACATGCACAGCAAATGGAAAAAAGTAATTTAGCTGCATTAAGACTTCGACTTCAGCCTGATACAGATTTAGAGAAACTACTTTGTAAAAAGTGTGATACCAGACATAGTCAAATACTAGAATTATACGAACACATGGCCGGTCACTACAAATGGATGAGATACGCGTGTAAATTGTGTAATTTTAAGAATTACGGCTTCGGAAATTTACTAGAACATGTGAAAGTAGTTCACAAATTAAAGGGTGATTCAGATTTTTACTATAGTACTGTAAAAGCGATAGACGCAAGCGAAGCAATAGAATTGGCTGAACCTGTTGAACAAATAGTTGAAACAAATGAAGCCAGTCCGGATTCCAGACGGACCAGCCGCTGTTCCAGTGACTCCAGTCGACTGTCCGATGAGAGCTCTTCAAGTAGCGTTCGCATTGAAGGAGCTAAGAAAAGGAAAATGAACTCTGGAAGAAGTATTCCGAAGAAAAGAAAAGAATTAAATGGTATGTGCAAAATATTTGTGATTACGTTTACTTTACTATTTACCCATCTTCTGATTTAAAACTTTATTTTTCTTTCAGATGAATCTATGGATAAACAATCAAATAATGCACTTGCCGAAAAAGAGAGCATGCCGGAAATAGAATATGTAAATACTAAAATATTTGAAGAGAACTCTTCAGATATAGATGATATTGAGGACAAGATATCTAAGAAGCAAATTGTTGGGGAAAAGACATCAATGGCATCGAGAAGACCTATCCGAAAACGTACTAGACCTAAAAATGAAGATTTTGAATACGACCTATCAAATTTGCTCAAATTGGAAGCCCAAGGCTACAGGGATTCCCAAATTATAACAACGAAACCTTCACAAAACAAAAGGAAAAGTCAAATAGAGATTCAAAGCAATTATGAAATGACAAATAGAGAATGTTGTGGTGCTCTATTCGCTTTATCTAAAAAAGCTATAGAAAATGCAGCGGCACATATGAAGGTACTGAGTTTTACTATGAATAATATCCAGAAAGAACAGCGTCCTTTGAATGTCTTCGTAAGGCCCATGATACCAAAAGTTGCAAAGGCTGATAAAACATCACCTAAAAAAGAATCTGTCGAATCTACTAAAGAAGTGATTATCGCAAACAAAACAACACCAGAGTCAAAAACGAGTACTACTGTCGCTGCAGTTAAAGAAGGGAAAATAGAGAAAGAAACAAATGAGAAACTTGAAACAATCACGATTGTATCACCTGAACCAACGTGCGATGAAGGAACTGTGATTTCAAATGATGATAAAAATATTAAAGATAGTGAAAACTGCAAAGAAGTGCCTACTACTACCGTAAACGATACTGCCAAAACGAATTCAAATATACCACTTGTTCCTTTAAAATTGCGCCGCCAAAGTGTAGACATAATAAAAAATCCAATTTTAAATAAAAACTATTCCGATTTTTCTAAAGTTGGTACAAAAATTCTTGTTATCAAACCGATCAATAGAAATAAAGATGGAACACAGACAATAAAAGCTCCATTGAAATTCCAAACTATTAAATTAAAAGATGCGAATAAAGGTAATTCGTCAAATGAAGAGAAATCTAAAGAAGTAGTTGTAGTGCAGGTACCAAAAGTAGAACGTGCTGTGACGCTTCCTTCGATAGTATTACCTAACACTCCTAATACTAATGTAATTGACAACACTAACAAAAAGGTAGAAAATGTTGTTAACAAAAATAATGAAAAAGATAGTGACCAAATGGATGTGACCCAATGATTAAGAGTGAAATATAAAATATACATGATATGTTGTATTATGTATTCATTCTATACAACACTAATTTTCTTTGTTGCTTTAAGATTTTCGTTATATTGTACAGCTTTCTACATAGGTAGGTAGGAAAAAATAATAAAATGATAAAACATTACTATTGCCTTTTAATTAAATTTATCATTCATCATATTTGTGTTATTTAGAAAATCTAAGTGAGATTTAGGGGTTGATAAAAATCGTAGAAATAAATTGTAAAGTCGATTTGACTCCTTTTGGGAAGTCAATAAAACATTAGTTATGATAGTAGAGAAAGCGATTACATTCCTTTTACTTACTTTCTATCTAAATCTGCTGTTTACATGAGTTATTTTCAAAGATTTTGTAGTCACCATGTTAGATTCTAGAAGCCTCAATAATCAAAGTTTGCACAATAAACTGTATTATTAGTATGCACTACATAATGTAATCTTTGGTACCCAAAAACAAGAAAATTACATGCTCCTTCATTATTAAATTTTTACATTTTATGTAATGCTTCAGTATGTTTCATTTCAACCCATCTGATGCAACTAGTTAATATTCTGAAGTGATCTCATATTAAAAAATGCAACTTTGTTATTCATTTAGGTCTATTTACATTATTATGGCAAAATAATAACACAAATTATATATTACTAGATTTAATAAGAAATAATGTTACATTCTCATCCATTTACATCTGCGATGTTTAAGCATTCTTTGCCAAAGTTTCAGCTTTAGCAACCACTTCTTCAATGGGTCCCACCATGTAGAATGCTACTTCAGGTAGGTGGTCATACTCTCCCTGCAGGATCTTAGAGAATCCCTTAATGGTCTCCTCAAGAGGCACAAGTTTACCAGCATGTCCTGTGAACACTTCAGCCACCTGGAAAGGCTGAGACAGGAATCTCTGGATCTTGCGAGCGCGGGCTACAGTCAGCTTGTCTTCCTCAGACAATTCATCCATACCCAAGATAGCAATGATGTCTTGGAGTGACTTGTAGTCCTGCAAGATCTTCTGTACACCACGGGCTACATTGTAGTGCTCAGCACCAATGATGTTGGGGTCCATGATACGGGAGGTGGAATCGAGGGGATCCACGGCTGGGTAGATACCAAGCTCAGCAATAGCTCTGGACAATACAGTGGTGGCATCCAAGTGAGCAAAAGTAGTGGCCGGAGCGGGATCAGTCAAGTCATCAGCGGGCACATAGATAGCTTGCACAGATGTGATGGAACCCTTCTTTGTGGTGGTAATACGTTCCTGCATAGTACCCATGTCAGTGGCCAAGGTTGGTTGGTAACCCACAGCAGATGGAATACGACCCAGCAGAGCAGACACCTCAGAACCAGCCTGAGTGAAACGGAAAATGTTGTCAATGAAGAGCAGTACATCCTGACCCTCCTGATCACGGAAGTATTCAGCAACAGTAAGTCCAGTCAGGGCGACACGGGCACGAGCGCCAGGGGGCTCGTTCATCTGACCATATACAAGAGCTACTTTGGATGTCTTATCCTTCAGAGAGATGACACCGGACTCAATCATTTCATGGTACAAGTCGTTACCTTCACGTGTTCGTTCACCTACACCAGCAAACACAGAGTAACCACCGTGGGCTTTGGCTACATTGTTGATCAGTTCCATGATGAGTACAGTCTTACCGACACCAGCGCCTCCGAACAGACCAATCTTTCCTCCCTTGGCGTAAGGAGCGAGTAGATCTACAACCTTAATTCCTGTTACCAGGATTTCTTGTTGCACAGACATTTCCACAAACTCAGGAGCTTCAGCGTGGATCGCAGCTGTTTTATCAGTAGGAATAGGGCCACGCTCGTCAATTGGCTCTCCAATTACATTGATAATGCGACCAAGGGTCTCAGCTCCTACCGGAATACGGATGGGCGAACCAGAGTCATGAACTGGCTGTCCACGAACGAGACCTTCAGTACCGTCCATGGCAATGGTGCGGACAGTGTTCTCACCCAAGTGCTGCGCAACTTCCAGAACCAGCCTCGGGGACCGGTTTTGCACTTCGAGGGCATTTAGGATAGGTGGAAGGTTATCCTCGAATTGAACATCTACTACGGCACCGATTACGGCAACCACCTTACCTTGTCCTTTGCCAGAAGCTTTCGCCGCGTAATCTCTCTTGTTTCCAATTGATACTGCAGCAATTTTGCTGCATTCTGACAGGGTCTTTTCGGCTACCGTTTTAACGGCTAACAAGCCGTTTCCAACCCTGCTTACAGCCCCTAACATTTTAATAAATCGTAGCACTTGGGCGATGTAAAAGGGATCACACAGTAAATTATGTAATAACCTAAAATGATTACCGTGCGTAGATAACAAATGGAATGTCCAGCAGTATCCACATGATATCGACGTTTTTACTTCGGGCTATGCGCATGCCTATTGGCCTCATTTCATTTTTCTTGTAGTTTGATTTTGTTTTATCCAATATCAAATAAACCAATACCACTTTACAATGTAAATAATTGTATTTTCAAATTGTTCTGTGAAAGTTAACAGAAGAATCTATTCATGAAATAAAATGTTCTCGTGCTTAACTAAAATATCGATACGTTATGTTATTTCATGGTTTTATGGGCTTCACTATCTGTCAAAGTCAGTTGTTTTGTCAAATTGACATAAAATTCCTCTGATAACCTGATAATGTCAATTTCCTTGCTATAATTTTATTTTTGTTCTCGATCGTGATTCTCGTCTTGTAATTTTAATTTCCATTATATATTATGTTAACATTTATGTATGTATAAATCAATATATAATTGTTTAAAATATCAAATAACACCGGTTTCACCAACATTAAATGAATAATGTGTCAGATGTAATATAATATTTACCAATTTTTAAATAAACCAATAAACAAAACTTAAAAAATGTACGGAATTCGTTTAGTGTCGAGGGTAAGAGTTTTGTTATGAAAAGGCAAAATATTTTTCTCTAACTTTTTCAAAACAGTTTTCATCTGATTTTCAGGCTATGCAATATCGGAGGTTTTCAAATTTCGTCAATTATGCAAGGCCCTTGATTTTAAATGATAATGTTTTTAATAAAAGGAGATATAGTTCCATAGCGGTAGAAGATAGTTATATTAAGAAATTTATGAATGCTGTGGGATGGATGGATCAGTCTAGAACGGTAAGATTAGCAAGTAGCAAGTTGTGCTATCCATATGATCCAAACCCAATACAGAAATACAAAATTACTGATTTTTATGTTGTAATTTGTAGGAAAGATACATATTTGTGTCAAGACTGAGTTTGATTTTAAAGTAACAATTACTTTCAATATTTCTTAATCATTTCATGTGTCAACTATCAACTTGGTATTTCAGCGCCTCAAACTAACTGGATATTTCCTATATGAATCGGTCCCAGAGAAGGTTGCATATCAAGAATGGTTTGAAAAACTAGACTTACCTGATACATTTGCCTCATGGTTTATTGTCACAGAATTGCATGTTTGGTTAATATTAGTGAGGTATATGGCTGAAGATGTCACCTCTATTACTAATGATAAGAAGAAGTATGTAAAAGGAGATGGTCATTTTGTTAGGAATTGTGTTATTGAAGCGCTATGGGCTGATGTTGCTATGAGGATAAAATTATTAGAGGTAAGCAATTTTTTCTTTGGTTGAAGGTTTCATTTCTTGCTTTCAGAACCAAGCTGGCATGTACATCTTTTTTAATTTTTTCACCATGGATAAATTGCATATTCTTTTAAAACCCCTTAATCCTAATAAAAAATTTTATACACTTCTTACTATCCTGTTTTTCAAAATTGCTTCACATAACAAATTTCACAAAATAACTGTAAAAATGAAATATTATACTGGACTTCACAGTAATTAAACATATTGGTTTTCTCAATTTTGAGATTAAAGTGATTTATCACATATCTTTACACATTGTCATATAATGTATTTTACAATTTTTGTTTTATTAATATCTTATTTTCAGGGGGCAAATCCTGCAATAGCTAGGAAGCAAGTTACAGAACTCTCGGAGCAGTTCCAAGCAGCCCTGGTTGCTTATGACGAGGGCTTGAGTGATGACAAAGTGATGGCATCTGCTGTATGGCGCAGGTTTTACTCTCTCTCTGATGATGCTAATGCTGCAGATATTGAGAAAATTGTTCATTTTATTAGACATCAGGTAAATGTCTTTATTTTTTTTTTTTAATAAGAAAAGGCAAACGAGCGGCCGAAATATAGAAGTGGTCTTAGACGCCCATGGATCTGCCACACCAGAAGAACCAGAGATGCGAGCCTTTGCTCTAATTATTAAATAACTAGCTTTCGCCCGCGACTCCGACCGCGTGGAATTAAAAAATAGTGGGTAGCCTATGTAATTCTTCCAGACTATCTCTACATCTATACCATATTTCATTGAAATTCGTTCAGCCGTTTAGCCTACAAACTCCAACAAACATCCATCCATTTATCTAAATATTCACATTTATAATATTAGTATGATTTTTACATAGTCAACTAAGGGTGGATCCAGCTTTTTGGTACTAGAGGGAGAAGATCACATAGTCGTGCTCAAGTTAAGAGCTTGACAAAATATGTAAATACATTTTGTCTAGCTCTTGACCAACCAGCCCAGGGGGGGCCATGACCCCCCCCCCTCGGATCCGCCTTTGTAGTAAATTTTGTATTTAGCAGTTATATGTACAAGTGAATTTAACAGCTTGTTTTACAAGATTTGTTAAAAGTAAATTCAGACATGTCAGATATTAAACTTATCTGAATTTACTTTCATAAAGTGTTTAGCCTGCTAAACCTGCAGTTTTAACTGTACTGTTGTATTGTATGTGAGTAGAAATATTTAAACTGTCAGTTAAATTGTAATATTATACCCCAATTTAAACTGTACAATTAAAACTGAAGCTGTAAAGCGGGCTGTAAGTATTCATAATAATTTACAGTTTTGGTTATATCTACAAAACATTGGCATATATTAAATTGGTTAATAATATTTTATTTTTCAGATATCAGAACTTGATAAGATTCCTAGTAAAGATTTAAAATGGAAACCTGTCTTTACTTGGTTAAGTATAAACGATCATTAGTGTTGGTGATGTACAAATAATATAGATAGATTGGTTAATTGTTATTTATTATTTATAAATAAATAAATAAATCATGTCTGTGTGTTTGTAAATGACATTCGAAGTTCGTCACATTTCTCCCTTTGCCATAAAACTGTGGTTACTATTCTACATAAGTTGTCTAATTTGCAGTTATTATTGCAATATGGCCATCTTCTATCACTTAATTTTGATACATAAGCTGCATATAAATCTAGCAGATGTCTGTCCGTGGTCACCATACGTTGGAGTAAATCGTCCATAGACTGAGCACTCAAATCTTTAACACCGAAGCTATTCTTCATGTCATACAGTTGGAACCAATGCGGACGACGGTTCGGTGTTAAGTTTGCCTCTGTTAGGTTATATATGTAATTGTTGATACTTTGTGGAGCCTGAAACGAAGACAAAAAAAAAACATTACCTACAATATACATTTTTTTTAATTCGTTGAGAAATAAGATGATTATTTTAAGACTTATGGCGATTTGATGATCATATTTTCTTGTTACTTAATTGTAGAGATACACAAATAAGTTTCCAATACTAGAAAACAGATAATGCAAGCTTAATACGATTTATGGTCCTTTGTAAGCAGGATAATAAATAAAACGTTTATTATGTATAATGATATATGAAAAAAAGAAAAATAATGTTTAATACATACGAATGTTGGCGGGTTGAATGTGGCTATTTTATAGTTCAGATTGTAGTTAACATAAGCGGTGGCGGCGCCCACGCCCCACGCCACGTTAATGGGCAGCCGGGGCTCCACCGAGCTGTAGAATATCTTGAACTCATCCGAGTGTATATGCCCATTAAACTCTGCTGCGATTGTCGATGAAAATCTGCAAGATAACCGGTAGGATTTGATTTACTAGCCTTCGCCCGCGGCTCCTGCGTGATATTAAAAAAATACAAAAGTAATCTATGTGTTCTTGCAGACTTTGCTCTACATTTGCAAACCATAGAGATACGTTCAGCCGTTTAAGCGGTAAAAAACAAACACCAGTCCATTTAAACTTTCGCATTATATTAAAACATTTCGTATTTAATCTGTCCCAAGAAAATTAATTAATTACCTATTAACGATCCTATTGTATTCCCTGGTCCAAACATGAGCCAAGTCATGCACTCCTGGCGGGATGTGGCTGAGGATGTGCACCTTCTCTCCGGCCAGCTCCGCGCGTTGCAGCTCCTGCACCAGCCACTCCAACTGGCGCTTCATCTCCAGCGGGTCGTAGACTAACCACCTTAAATTATAATGCATGTTAAAAACGTATAACATTTAAGAATGAAATTACGCCATCTTGTGACGTCATAGCTCTCTTCGAAAAAAGAAATATTTTTAAATAATGCTGTTATACACATTATAGCTTTTGCCCGCGTATCGGTCGGTGTGAAATAAAAAAAAGCAGCCTATGTGTTCTTCCAAACTTGGCTCTATATCTCCAAATTTCATCAGATCCGTTCAGCAATCTAAAGTCGCATTTATGACATTAGTAAGATTTTTGTTTTTCCTATTCTCTTGGTAAAATCTGCTCTTTTCTAGCAATTTTCAACGCACATATTTTTATTTGAAATCAAATCTACACTCAACTTAACCTTAGACAAAATTCGATTCCTGTTTTATGAAAATAATTTTAAGATTGTAATTACCAGTTATATTTATAAGCGACGTTGGTATTGAGTGAGATAGCTCTGAGCCCGGGCCGCACCAATCTGGAGAACCCTCCGCGTACCCTCAACGACGCCCTCGCCTCCTCCGTCAGATAATGATCCCATTTGGTTATTAACCCTTCGTATAACCAAGTTGTGTTTAAATACGGTTCAGTTACTGTTATTGGTGCGAATCTGTAAAAATACTTTACTCAATAAAATAAAAACAAACATACGATTCTGAGTTTTTGTATTTAAAACGCAACAAAATATATTTGAAAGTTATAAAAAAAGTTCGTGGCGTCATAGAATTATGAAGGCATATACTTGTCACTGTCATTCTATTTAAAAAATCTGAGAAAGCTATATGTTTTTAATGCGTCCCCTCGGTAAGACCATACTTACTGATTCGTTGGCTGCGACTCGTGGTTGCCAATAGCTGGTATAATCAACACATCGTCTCCGAAAGTTGTTCGCATTTTAGTAATAAGATATTGATTAATTTCGTCAATCAATTCATAAGATGTTTCCCAAATACCATGGTCGATTGTATCACCTATGTAATATACTGCATCGAACTAAAAATCAAATAAGCAAAATTAAATATATCTAAATGAGGCAATCTGAGTAATTAAGGAGTCTTAAGGCCCGTCCCACTACTGGTTGATAGAGTCTCAGATAGCTTAAAAATGACGTTACCGCCAGATAAGGGAACAAAATCCGATAGTTCCATAACACTCGTTGGATTGTTATCAGATAATTTACAATTTGGTGGGACAGGCTCTTAGTGACCAATTCTGAGTGCGAATTTTTTTAACAAAGAAATCGAAATATATCATCTTAGGTAACCATACTAACTTTATGAGCAGATGCCATTCTTTCTATGACGTCATCGAACGCCCATCTCGGAGTATCACAGTTTCTATAATCACCCCAATAACCAGCCGGCTCTGCTCGTCTTGTCTGAGCTCGCATTGAACTTCTCATACGGATTTCTTTAATTTTCGGTACATCTTTCAAATTAAGAAGAACGTTATCACCGCGTCCTATCACACTGTTGTCGACTTCGGAACCATCTGTAACAATATCTGATGATGGTCTAAGTCTTTGTCCCTTCCTGCAACATGTTGGTTCATCGCACTGCGCCACACCGAACGCCTCGTACAAGGGATCTATATGGGCATCTGTTAAAATTGCCACCGTTAGAGGGCTCTGATCGATAACTGGGGTTGGTATCTGGAAATTAAGAAGTAGTAATTATATTACTGAGCATAAATAAGGAAAGAAGGTATCGAATAACATTCATAATGTCTGCACATACCCGGTTTACACTTGGCCACTACAGTTGGACTGTTGTGACAGCCAGTCATAGATTGTATGGACTCACTGGTCACTTACGTGGACACTGTGCCAGTTAATTGACAGTCCCTTTTTATTCTACTGGCCAAGTGTAAACCGCCCATAAGTTTATGTACATTGTTTCCTTTACGAATAATAACTAACTACAATATAGTATCTTGTACCAATCAAGGATTTGTCATACATTAATATAGTAAGTCCTATTTATTACATATTGGAATATTCATACTATTTATTGAAAACTTAACATTATATCAAAACAAATATTATTATAGCACTTACGTTAGCCGTTTGTATTCTCTGAGGCAGTTCGATTTGCCACTCAAAGCGCGTGTCGTTGTACGAACAAAAGTTAGGGTTATCAGACCTTTGCAACACAAGGCCGCAGAAGTTACGCGGCGTCGCCTCTGGCGTGTTTCTAATGATATAAGTAATGATGTGCTGTAAAACAAAGAAATACATTTGTTTATAATAAACTGGAATATGAAATAGTGTAGATAGTGGAAATCCATTCCACTACACGCATGAACTTATGGGAAAATAATGTCCAATCAAAGCGTAATTTTGTTGGTATATCAAAAGTTGCTAATTTGAAACTTCTAGTGCCCGGTTCACACTTGGCTAGTACAGTTGAACAGTTACAATGGTCAGCCATAGATTGTATAGACTGACTGGTGCCAGTAGAGTTCGGACTGTGTCAGTTGATTAATAGTACTGTTATAGAGCGCTAATGGCCAAGTGTGACCAACAGATTTTTTTGTCACTTTCATCATCTTTTGAAGTTAGTGTAGTATCATATATAGTTTACTTACCAGATTCAAAGAAACAGCTCCGCTACATACATTGTAACTCTCAATACCGAGGAGGACGCAGATATTGGAGAGGGAGCGAGTTAATTCATCATCCGATGCGCCTGCTCGTATCAGTTCGAACAGGGCTGAAAATGCGCTGCGACATACTAAGCAATCCAGACTCTGTTGAACAGGTTAATTTATTAGGAAACTCATAAGTATTGGTCGGTCGTCGGTGGCTCAGTAGTTTAAGCTCTTGACTTGTAATCTACAGGTCTTTTGTTTGAATCCCGCCATATAGCAATGTGAGTTTCGATTTTTCGAATGTTTATATATACATAATTTACCCGACGTTCTTACGGTGAAGGAAAACATCGTGATGCAACCTGCACATATCGGCGAAGAAATTCAAAGATATGTGTGAAGTCAACCAACCCGCAGTAGGCCAACGTCGTTGACTATGGTCTAGTCACCCCTTACGTAGGGTAGGCTCCGAACCTAGTAATGCTGGTGATGATGATGTATTGGTAACATTTTTAAAGGTCTTTCAATAAGTGGCAATCCACGGCAATGGTCAACGGTTTAATACTGAAGTATGACTTGACATCAGTTTACATAGTTCTTATTTGATGCCTTTCTGATATATGGTTTTCCTTACCATTCGCGTATCCGATCTATATTCGTGTGTAGTCACATGTTGTGTTCTGCGCAAAATTTCAAAAACATCTTCTTGCAATTTTTGCTCGGCGCTCGATAACAATTCATTTTTCATATATTTTCCAATTACAACTTCCACTTCATCTATTATAACAAAAATATCTTATAAATATTTTGATAACTACTAATCTTATTTGTAAGATATGTGAGAAGCAAAAATTTGTGATAAATTTTGGTTTTCGAGATACGATAGATAATTTCGGAATTAAATTGTTATTAACATGTTGATAACAAAATTATCCATAATCTCTAAATTAATACACTTAATAATCACAGATAATAAAGAAAAAAATGGTAAATGTGAACGCTGAAAAATAAATCTCAGGAACCACCGATATATGCACATATATACCCTATTTGTTAGGCTTTAAAAATATTTAACGGTACATTGGTCTGGGATTTAATGAATATATTAAATACCGATTGCTTTATTAAACAAATCAATGATTCTTACCTGGCGTTATAAAATCAGCAAAACACGTGTTGAATATCAAAACAACTATAAAATACAGCTTCATCTTTAACGAATAACCAGCGACAAATCGCTTCACCTTATATATGTTCAAGAGTAAAAAAATGCACTTGGGATTTAATATCCCTTGTTGAACATTCCTAATATATCGCCCGCATTTAATCTATCGCCGTCAACAGCTTGTACTCCATTGAAATGAACAAAAAATGTACTTGACACTATCGATTTGTTTGATTTATCAGTTTATCTTAATATTAATGATTATAAAAGAGAGAAAACAAAATGGTAAGCGCGTGAAACTCATAACGTGAATTACCACTGCCGAATCACGCATACCTACCAAAAAGTATTGCTATCTCAATTTTTCACGGACAATACAAAAGGGACAAGAATATGTTTCTGTACATGTGTTTTGACCGTGGAAACTATAACGTCCGCGCCTGCTTTACGATAAGAATTCATTTGGTAAGAAGTATTAATGACGGGCAAATTAAATTTCATAAAACTACGGTAAAATGGAAATTAAATATTTTTCATTTAAAATTTTAAATTTATTACATAACGTACAGTAATTATGTACTTGATTTTATAATCAGTCAATTTAAAATGTTGTAAATAAAAAAAAACAAGATAGCCCCAATTAATTTGCAAGTAGAATAAGGTATTCTCCATCTCAATGAGAGTTTGTGATGTAATCAAATTATTAGAAACATTTTTATCTAGATAAACTAGATCTTTATCTAAAAATATCTCTAGAGATAGCTGTTATATCCAATTGAAACTAAAGAGGCCACACATCCGACAATTCTAAGACAAGTTTATCGAAGAAAAATAATTTTGAGATTAAAAGATGAGTCATACCTCATGTGAGATCTCTCCTCTTAAAATATGAAAATAACTACAAATATAACCTCCACCATATATGTATCTGAAAGCATTGTGTTTTTCAAAAAGAAAAGTCATAATTCTGGTTAAAAAAAACTTTATTGCGTTTAAATATTTTAACAAAAAAATGTATGCATTTGATACGATTTCCTGTGACGTCACATTTCATACTTCCGTCATATCAACGTCTTCTATATTCAAATCATCCAACATCTCAGCGAGCGTGATGCGCGGCAGCGACGGGTCAATCTCATCCGTGTCTATGGGCACTCTGCTGGCGTCCTTGAAAATGTTGATGTTCTGTCTGAACGTAGGGTCCTCTTCCAAATCGTCCAGGAACTCATTGTAATCCCTGGAAGTAACATAGTAAGTACATTTAATTAAAAACATCAGATATCAGGAATAAGGGTTGTTCTGTTACTTCATATTTAAATTAGCTTTCGCCCGCGACTCCATCCTCCAGGAATTTAAAAAAACAAAGTGTACATGTTCATCCAGAACATCCTCTACATCTATACTACTTTCATCGAAATCCGTTCAGCGTTTAGGCTACAAACTCTAACAGACATCCATCCATCCATCTAATCTTTCGCATTTATAATATTAGAATAGTAAGATTGAAAGTGTTCCTGTTTTATGGAAAATGTGAGAGACTGGATACGTTTTAGTTATTTTTTTGTAAAACACAATAATTACCTCTGGCATCCTAATACGTCATTTGGTTTTAATATTTTATCTAGGCGTGATTGACAGATGAAAATGTGTGACTTAAACGTGATTTTTTTAATTAAAGGAGTCGATTTAAAGATTTATATCAATATCATGCACAAAAACCGACGAGTATGTTACGCTTCACATGCGTACCGAATGCGTACGTCGTCTTTATTGGGAAAACCCTGTTTATTAGATAATGTATATGATAAATGATAACTTATAACAATTAATAGTCTTGCATTATCTATGTTACATAAAAAAATTTTGTACAAATAACTTTGAAGACTTATTTATCGTCCGTTAAATATCGTCCATTTTCTAAATAGGTTTACTGATGTTATAAATGTTGACATAATAACTACCTCTCTTCTTTTTTTTATAACATAAGGTGCCAAACGAGCAAGCGGCCACCTGACTCCACCAAGATGGAATGCGACCGCTGCCCATAAACATCCGCAATTGCAGATGCGTTGCCTACCCTTAATTGACGGAGGAGGAAACGCACATAAAGCGGACATTTCCCCTCTCTATGCGTTTTCTCCACCGTCAAATCCACTTTTCCTTCCCATCCTTTCTCTTAAGAAAAGGGTGGAAAGGGAAAGGGACTAAAATTAGGCCTCCGGCACCACACTCATCAGACGAAACGCGGAATTGCATCCACTTCGCGCCTGTTTTCTGTGTGGTCGTGGTTTTGTACCGGGCGAGCCGGCCCTTATGAGCGAAGATGTTAAAGCGGGCTCTACCATTGTTAAACTTCTACTTAATTTATATTCATTGATGTATCTCTCATGCTCTTCAATAATAAATACTCTTAATTAAATTGAATTATAAACGTTTCAAGATTGTATTCTATCAAATAACAAGGGATAATCTCATTTAATTATTTCTGACGTCAACTAAGTTAGTCCCCGGAATCTTATCTGCCACCAAATTTTATTATCTGACATATTTAATGAACATTATGTGTGCATAAATAATAATTAGTGCTGGCTAACAGTGAGATTTCACGGCCGCAAAACGCGTACTAAAACATTAGTATCGCAGATAATGCGATCGACGCGCTAACTTTGAAGGCTCTGGCGTTATATTGGAACTGAAACATTAACGCTTGCAACTTCTTTTAATCTATACAAATATTAAAAAGTGGAAAAGTTTGTATATCTTTATGTATGTAGTATGATATAAATAAAAAAAATATGCAGACGAATTGAGTACCTTCTTTTGGGAAGTCGGTCAGAAACTACTGGACCAATGTCATAAAATCCTTCATCATTAGAAAGCTATTAGTGATTAATATAGCCTATATTTATCAACTTTACGTAGTCGTAGTCGCGTAAAATGAGTATATTAGGAAATTTGAGAGTAGCCCCAGTGGTTGAGAAAAAAAGGAGTAAAAGGTTAGAATGGTATGGACATGTTATGAGAAGAGATGAATCGCATGTAACAAAACGGACGTTAGTTATGAATGTGGAGGGGTATACCGGTAGAGGTAGACCTAGAAAGAGATGAATGGATTGCGTGAAAGGTGATATGATAAAAAGGGAGTGATGACTGAGATGACGGGTGATAAGAGTGCTTTGGAGGAAGAGGAAAAGATTTCTATTTTTGTACACATTCGATTTACGTAAAAACTACTTGACCAATTAATAAAATCTTTCACCGTTAGAAAAGTTATTAATCTGTGAGTAACATAGGCTATATTTTGACATTTCAAAAGGGTGAGGTCGTGAGCAATATTGCATATATTGGTAAAAAAGTTTATCGATGTAGGAGTTGTTTTTGACTTACTCATTGCTAGAGCCGAGTCCCTCGTGCAGGTCGTCGGCCATGTGCTTCAGTTTCCAGTTGCGCGCGCGGCGCCGCGCCGACCTCTCCCCGTAGTACTTCTTGACGAGGAACACGTCCGGTATCGCATCCTTGTCCAGCTTGTCGAAGTTAGCATCGTTCACATTTGTATCGCATAAATTGTACCTATAAGAAAATACATTTAAATATATACAAACGCTACTTGGAAAACGGACACAATCTTACTAATATTATAAATGCGAAAGTTTAGATGGATGGATGTTTGTTAGAGTTTGTAGTCCAAACTGCTGAACAGATCTCTGTGAAATTTGGCATAGACGTAGAGGATAATCTGGAAGAACATCGGCTATTTAGTTTTGATTTTTTTTTAATTCCACGCGGACGGAGTAGCGAGCGAAAGCTAGTATTTAAATACATTTTTCGTTGGATCATCGGAGAAGTTCTTTGAGCAAAGGTGAAAAATATTCTTTATTTAATTGTGATATGCATTCTATTCTGCTTATTTGTAAAAGGTACCACACATGTAATAATTTTAAAATAAAGAACTAAAAAAATCACAAAACTTTCAGAATATAATCTTTGAAGTGGTTTCACAATTAGCAGAATTGATAATAAAATTTATGTTTTAAAAATCACTGAGCCTAGTCATCAATTAGTTATTAAACTATAAAACTTACCCTAAAACTGTGTCTCCAGGCTTTAAAATATGTCCTAAATGAGTCTTTGTGTGAATGGGATTGACATCATGTCCCAGTTCACTTGACTTCACCACCCACACGTCTGCAATTACGTGTTTGTTGGACACAACACCTTGTCCGGGGAATGTTTTCTTTTCCTATAAAAGTATATACATAATAGTTTAATTCTTACTAATATTATAATAGTTAAGATAGGCGTTTGTTATTAGGTATGACAGGAATGTCTTAATGAATCTGAAATTTGGAACATATGTAAAACATAGTCTAGAAGAACACATAAGCTAAGTTTTTTAACTCCGCGCGGACGATGTCACGGACTGCTTGTATTATAATCACATGAAGAACAGATTTTTGGATTAATAAACTTTCAGATTTACACACATTACAATCACAAATTTTACTATCATAGGCGTATTTTAAATCAATACTAAAATTTGTATTTATTTATATGTCAAAATCTATACTTACATGTTCTTTTAATATGTCAATATCCATAACAGTGTATTCAACTAACTGTTTAGGATTACAAATTGGAGTGAATGGATGTCTCCAATACACGGTGGAAGAAAGGTCACATACTAAAAAAAACAAAAAACATACTGTAATAAGGCATGAAGTCAATTACTGAAAAAAAGCACATCTTTTAGCAACTCGGGAAGTTTTTAACTTTGTTAATATTATAGAGAAGATAGAATTACATTTTTGTATGTGAAAGTACTCAATAGTATGCTGATTTTAATTATTTCTTCACCTATAAAAACTACATTATCACTGAATATGGCTATATTTATAAAATACTATTTATTAAATACTAGCTGTTCCCTTGCATTTTTATCACCATAAAATTATATTATTGTTTACATGTGTCAATTGCAGATGTCAAAATGACTTTATGAATTCCTTGAGGTTGGCAGCAACTTATGGTCTCCTTCCCACATTAGGGTTTTTATCCAATTTTTTACCAACTTAGTTTAATAGCGTGAAAATAGTAACTGTAGGGCTTTTTATTGAAAAAAGATTTATTTAAAAATATGCTGTAATTGCTGACATCTTAGGCAACAATGAAGTGTGTGTTTATGCTTTATTACAATAAGTATAGAAGTAAAGATGTACCTTGGCCAGTGTTGGGGTCAATTAAGTGTATAGTACTGGTGACCCTTGAAACAAGACAAATAGGTGATATTGAACCTAACTGATGAGTTAGTTTCTTAGGAAGGCAGACCACACTGTCTTTGGACACGGGAACAATTTCAATGCTGTATGTAAACTTGTAGTTATAAATATTACTGTGAATATCATGTGATATCAACTTTTTGGAATGTTGACATTTTATTGGTAAAACTGATTGTATAAAGTCAACCATTTTACGAGCTGTATTCTCTGTTGCGTAGAAGAAATCCAGCCCATCTGAAATGAAACATTAAAAATTTATAACCAGTTGATAAATTAAACAATCTAAATTAAGTTATTTACTGTTTTAATTAAAAAAAATTATCTTTAAATGTATACAAGTTGTTTTAGCTAATAAAACAAATTGATTATAAACACAGATTGTGTTCAATATATCCTAAGTATTAATGTACAAATGTTGTTGTCAAATAAAATGGAAATTACATTTACATTTCATGCATTTATTGTATACTAGCTTTTTCCTGCGACTCCGTCCGTGCAGAATTAAAAAACTTAGTAAGTAGCCTATGTGTTATTATAGACTATGTTCAACATCTGTGTCAAAGCTGTTAACACTTACAAACATCCATCCGTCAATCTAAACATTTGCATTTATAATGTTACTAAAATGGGACATTAAGTTTTTAATTTCATGTTTCAATTATAAAAACAAATATTCTAATAACACAAATTACAGTCTTATAAAGGTAAATTTGTTTAGATAGGTTTGTTACTACTTTTCATTGGTATTTAATTCAACAAGTTATCTTTATAAAGTGCCACTTACCATGTTTAGGTTTAATTCCCAATGTGTTTTCATGCGCTTTGTGTTTCAGTATCAATTGTTCTAGATAGTAAAACGTCTTCCTGTTGTTAGCACGTTGTCTAACTTGTACTAACGCACGCCAATAATCTTGTGCCTCCGAGCGATGACATGCATCACACATCTGATGTTGAATCACAAACTCTACTATGAATGTTTGCTGCAGTACTGCACCACCCATTACTTCGCCTTGCACAGTCAATTTGACCTGGAAATATAGTTTGTAATTAAAATTATGTCTACATATATTGGGCCTAAGTTGCTGTTGAGAAAAAGTTAGTGTGATATCATCATAAATTCAAAGAATTTTAAGTCATCCATCACTCATGTATATATTTAACATTGTGCAATATGAATTAACATATGATTTTATCAAACAGAACCAAAATGTAATGGTAATAAAATTTGACATGTCCATATGACCTGGAATAATATAAAAGAAATCTTCTTACCTTTATTCTCTTGGAATGAGGTTCAGTCCAAGCAAAGCCTGCATCTATCAGTTTTACTCTGTTTAATCCTTTCAATCTTTTCAAGCATAAAGCAAGTAGTTCTCTGGATTCTAAAGCACAAACAAGCCATTCTGCTGGAGGTTGAAGATACCTGTGCAAAAACATGAAAATTTTGTAAATAAAAATACACACAGATGGTTTAATGAGCTTTTTAGGAACTTAATAGATAATTATCGTCTTACCTTTCACAACCTCTGCAAAAGAACAATGTAGCCTGTTTGGGTATGCCGTCTGTGATATCAACATGGGCACGTAAACATGCCACACACATATTGGATGGATTTGGTTCTATAGGAGCCGCGCACTGACAGCATAATCTAAAGAAAATTATAAGTTCAATATGTTAGATAATTCTGCAACAATATATATTTACAAGAACACACGTGATGATCATTTTTAACCTCAAAATCTTACTTACATGCGAGTACTGTTGGGATCCGGTATATCTTCTGGTGAAATATACTCCATATTGACACACTAGTTTGCTAAGTTTTAAATATACGTTTTCTTAAGATTCGTAACTTTTACCTTATAAATTAATACAAGTGTGAAACTATTTGGAGAAGTTTTGAGTTTGACTTTTTGTCAATTTGACATTGACAGTGATAACCATTGATAACTCTATTGGTAGTGTGGTAAATTGTTCCGATAAGAATATTGATACGGACGACCCATCTATGATGCACTTTTTTAGCATCACACATATCATAAATCCTAATAACTTATTTTACTGTTATAAATACTAAATTGGTTTGCTTAATGAAATCTACAATTAACATCATCTTTGACGAACAGGTACAGGAAATAGTTGTCTATGAACGGAAACAGTGTAAGAAAAAAAGTTCAATGATTCTCTGTGGTCCACCTCTCATCTCGGCTCTTACGTAAACTTTTTTAAAAGAAGAACTCGAATTTTGGGGCTACTGTGCATTACGTCGATCGAGTTAAGAAAACGAACATGTTTTCTACCGCCGGAAGAGCTGGCCTTTTGGCTGCAAAGTCGGTAGTTAACAATTCCTTGGCTGAAAAAACACCTCTGGTTGCCGGAGCCCTAGTGAATAAGCGGGACTATGCTGCCAAAGCCGCAGGAAAAGGTCAAGGTAAGGTGGTTGCCGTAATCGGTGCCGTAGTAGATGTTCAATTCGAGGATAACCTTCCACCTATCCTAAATGCCCTCGAAGTGCAAAACCGGTCCCCGAGGCTGGTGCTGGAAGTTGCGCAGCACTTGGGTGAGAACACTGTCCGCACCATCGCCATGGACGGTACTGAAGGTCTCGTTCGTGGACAACCAGTTCACGACTCTGGTTCGCCCATCCGTATTCCGGTAGGAGCTGAGACCCTTGGTCGCATTATCAATGTAATTGGAGAGCCAATTGACGAGCGTGGCCCTATTCCTACTGATAAAACAGCTGCGATCCACGCTGAAGCTCCTGAATTTGTGGAAATGTCTGTGCAACAAGAAATCCTGGTAACAGGAATTAAGGTTGTAGATCTACTCGCTCCTTACGCCAAGGGAGGAAAGATTGGTCTGTTCGGAGGCGCTGGTGTCGGTAAGACTGTACTCATCATGGAACTGATCAACAATGTAGCCAAAGCCCACGGTGGTTACTCTGTGTTTGCTGGTGTAGGTGAACGTACACGTGAAGGTAACGACTTGTACCATGAAATGATTGAGTCCGGTGTCATCTCTCTGAAGGATAAGACATCCAAAGTAGCTCTTGTATATGGTCAGATGAACGAGCCCCCCGGCGCTCGTGCCCGTGTCGCCCTGACTGGACTTACTGTTGCTGAATACTTCCGTGATCAGGAGGGTCAGGATGTACTGCTCTTCATTGACAACATTTTCCGTTTCACTCAGGCCGGTTCTGAGGTGTCTGCTCTGCTGGGTCGTATTCCATCTGCTGTGGGTTACCAACCAACCTTGGCCACTGACATGGGTACTATGCAGGAACGTATTACCACCACAAAGAAGGGTTCCATCACATCTGTGCAAGCTATCTATGTGCCAGCTGATGACTTGACTGATCCTGCCCCGGCCACTACTTTTGCTCACTTGGACGCCACCACTGTATTGTCCAGAGCTATTGCTGAGCTTGGAATCTACCCAGCCGTGGATCCCCTCGATTCCACCTCCCGTATCATGGACCCCAACATCATTGGTGCTGAGCACTACAATGTAGCCCGTGGTGTACAGAAGATCCTGCAGGACTACAAGTCACTCCAGGACATCATTGCTATCTTGGGTATGGATGAATTGTCTGAGGAAGACAAGCTGACTGTAGCCCGCGCTCGCAAGATCCAGAGATTCCTGTCTCAGCCTTTCCAGGTGGCTGAAGTGTTCACTGGACATGCTGGTAAACTTGTGCCTCTTGAGGAGACCATTAAGGGATTCTCTAAGATCCTGCAGGGAGAGTATGACCATCTACCTGAAGTAGCATTTTACATGGTTGGACCCATTGAAGAAGTTGTAGCAAAGGCTGAAACACTGGCCAAAAACGCATAATTAAGCTGTCTTCAATGTTGTTAGAATTATTATCTATGTTTAGTGACAGATCAGTAACTTATTGCAATATAACTTGCATACCTCAAAAAGGTTATTGTATAATAATCAGTCGATGGAAATGGTATGTAAATGTGATCAATTATATATTAAAGAAACTGCCCATATATACAAGACTATTATTTAGTTCTTTGAATCACCCATAAACCTAAAATGCAATTTTTAATAAGTTGTTTATAAATTGCTGTTTAGAATTTTAATATTTAATCAGAATTAACTTCAGTTACACAATCTTATGTCACCAATTACATAACATTTAAAATAGGAACAAATAAAGCTTTAAATCAATTCAGCTTTATTCAATTATTTTGATTGGAATTAACCCAGTTTAATGCAATATGGGAATTATTGGAAATTGTAAAATGATATCCCAATGTCCTTTTTAAAAACAAAGACTTTATTAAAGTGGAGAAATACCAGCAAATACAGATTATGTAACAAATTGCAGCTTTAGAATGTACAATGCAAGTTTACAGTATTGAAAATATTAAATCCAAGATGTTAGTATATTAGATTATCATTAACTTCATTTACTTACAACCTACATACATGAATGCAACTATGCATCAGTATTCCTATCATAGGAGCAAGATGAGTTTTTGATGTGCTTTAGCATCTATGTTTTCACTGGCCTAAAATACTGGATACTAATTCACTTATGTTCATATTTTTTTACAAAGTTAAATACAATTTTAGTAGTCACAAATATCATTGGTTGCCACGAATTGAAATAAAAATTGATGACAAACATTCCTTGTTTGTAAAATATATGAATGAAGTATAAATAACTAAAGGGGTAGATAAGAAAAAACCAAGTATTTTGTTATTTTTTTTTATTTGTAACCAAAGTTCTTATCGCTTGCCACCAACACGAGGGGCAGACTTCTGACTTACTTTAGCGGCTTTAGCTTTGGGTGCCGCCTTTGCCTTTGTGGGGGGAGCAGTGGTTTTCTTGGCTGCTTTAGTGGACTTTTTCTGTTCCTTTGCAGCTCTACAAAAAAAATAAAAACGTTAGTATTTTAAAATAAAAGTAGTCACCTTTTACAATCTACACTTAGTAAAGTTAGAGAAGTACTAATACATGACTAGAATTTGTAGACTCAAAGTCGGATTTGAATTTTGTTCGACTTGGACATAAATACAAGTTAACTTTTTTTTAGACTTAGCTTGGGTTAAAATAGCTAAAAAATAAAATGATTTATAACTTAAAACAACTTCAGATTGATGAAGTGTTTTAAAAATGGATATTTTTTTTTTATATAATAACATTGAATTTTCTAGTTAACTACATGCTATTATCTGGTAGTCAAAGTAAGGGTAAAAGAAAAGTGTGTACAACTGAATTGCACATGGAATACAGACAAAGAATAGTTAATTTCTTACTTGATAGCCTGTTCCCTCTGGGCTTTCCTCACTTCAGGCTTCATGTTCCTCTTGGCCATGATATCACTGAGGGATGCGCCTACAATCGCACGCTGGTACTTCTGTGTCCTCCTGGTGCGCTTCTTGGCCTGCTCTTCCTCCTGCCCTTTCTTGAACTTACGCCTATATAATAAAACATTGTTAAATTGTCATTTGTTTAAATCTATCATTTACCCTTGAGCACATGTTTATTAAGAATTTTAACACCAACATAAACAGACTATGAAGTTGGTACCAAAGTGTAGCAAATCGAAAGTATGTTTGTTGTGACATAATATTGTACACTTTCTAGGAAAAACACAGCGACTACTGGATAGTTTTTAATTTTAACAAGTGTGACCAAATGACAGTTATCCCACATTAAAAAACAAAAAAAAAATTACATAAATTGAATTATTAATTGCAGCATTTTTGTTCCGATGTTTTGTCCTAGTAGGATTTTTGTTAATTTTTTATTTAATAAACCATACAAAATGGTAATTCAAATTATAGAGTTTCACAAACTGCTAGAGATGTTTTTGTTGGGTAATTGGATTGGAATATTCATAAAGGTACATCATAGCGTGTATCAAGTAGTGGAACATTTTTAGTCAAAGGGATGTAAGTACTGTTCTGATGAAATACTTAATAATACTTATATGAAATACTAGCTGTTATTTGCGATTTCGTCCACTAAAAATATAGCCTATGTTACTCACAAATCAATCACCTTTCTAATGGTGAAAGAAAATCGGCCTAGTAGTGAGTTTTGAGTTATTTCAATGCATACAATAAAAATCTTTCCTCTTTATAAGATAATGTTTTACCTGTAAAGGACTGTCCATGTCACTTTCCTGGGATTTCTTCTCATTAGATGGGCAGCTTCACATTTTGAATTCAAGAATGTGAATGTCTGAAATAATAATTAAACACATTAAAAAACTTCATATTGAAAAACAAATTTAAAACATCTGTTATTCATAGAATGTAACAATTTTATAAAAATAACATCAAAGTTAAAAAAATCAGTGACAAACAAGAGAATGTTAATGAATTATCTGAATTTGAAGATTTAATAGTATATTTTAAACAATAATTTTGAGAAATGTCTACAATATTTTCTTATCAAGTTTTGATCATTCTGCTTCTACATCTAATAAAGTTTGGTGCGCAAACAAGTATAAACATTACTCAGAGACTGTATATTATTTGTAATTTTCAGTCTAGAAAAGCATTTCTATTTTACATTATTTTTTATACAGACTATGCAAAGTTTTACAAAAACAAAGCCGTTACAAATACGTTAGTTTTGTAACCTACAAGTATTTGTAACTGTATAGTTTGCTTTATGAAACAAGCCTAACAGAAAAAACATTGTATTAAAACCAAATACATTTTTGTACAAATTAATAATGAGTAGTAAGATTAAATTTAATAAATTACCTTGCCATCTACCTTAACCATGGTTTTCCCATGGCCAGGGTAGATCTTGTAACCACTGTAGGCGCAAAGTCCGATCCTGAAAATATAACAAACATCATGAAAAGACTGCACTCCACTTTTAACTATTTATTTAAACACAAAGAAATTGTATGAGATTAATTTGATTTAGAAAAATATAAAAATTATAGCCAAAACCTACTTCATTTTGACTTGTGTCAAGAAAGAAAGAGCAAGAGAACAGATAAAACAATACCATAGACAATATTTTGTTTGACAGATTGACAACGTCAAAAAGCCCGCAACAGATAATAAATGCTTCTTAGGAAAAAAAAAGGAAAAGCGTAATGGGTCGTTAACATTCGTCTCACATTGCAATAATTTGCATTTCATTAATTAATGCCACACAGTTCATTTCATTTAGTATTAGATTAGCTAAAGGCAATATTGATTATTGTGTTTTAAAATATCGATATGAGAATGTTTCAAATCGTTTAACGAATCTTTAAATTTCTTTAATTAGAGTCATGCACTCTACTTTGATCAGATCTTCAAATGCACGAGATTTCGCACGTGATCTTGTAACATCTATTCATGTTGTTTTGGGTGAAATCCTGGATATGCTATTCCATCCATGAAAAAAAATATATTTTAGGTTCCTTCTGCTTTCTGGCCTTTTATGTGAAGCTAAAATATTGTTTTCACAGATTAAAAAATATTTGATCATAATACTTTTTTCACATCTTTCGTTGTCTTTGGAAAAAGACAAACCGGGTTTACAGATAAGAATAAAGAACTTTTCTCTTTCCTCCGCAATAGAAATTTTCGTGTTTGTTCAGTAGTTTAAATAACCTAAGTAATGATTTGCCCGGATTTTTTAGAATTTCAGGTTTGCTCTTCTTGATTTTGATATGATATGTGATAGTACATAAAGGTTTTTATAACCTCAACCTTTGAGGTTATTCAACTCGTCGTAAACATTGAGTTTAATTTTAAAATCTTTTAAAACAAATTATATTTTAGGACATCCTTAAAAAGATGCGAGTGTTGGATGATAAAATAGTTTACGCCCTCAATACCTCTATACCCACGGAGTCTTTTAAAACAAAAGAAAATGCTACAGAAGCTTGCCAAGATTTATACCAACAAATACAAAAGGGCCATGAGGAAAGAGAAAATGTTATAAAAAAGTGTATAGTCACTACAGCTGACAGCGTAAAAAAGTTATTATCTGCTAAAGAGACAAATCCTGATAATTTTGAAACTTTAAAGGATTTGAAAGCTGAACAGAGAAAGGTATTGGACTTTACTTAACATTTTGATTGTTAAGAATGGACCAAATTGTATGGGAGAGATTAAAAGAATACGTGTCTACTCACTCTCAGACTACAGTCACACTGGAATGGATTGCAACATATAAGTTCCAATTTACATTACTCACTTGTCAATCAATCTACACAATACAAACATGTTAATCTTATTCTTTGCCCTAGAAAGCCACTATTACATTTTCTAACAATTCATCATCAAAATAATCTACTTAGTAACTGGAACAATTGTCATTATCTTTAGTTATGACAAATAATTTAGAAGAATGTTAGATCCGTAAAGGCAAATTAACCATATTTTGTAATTTTCTTTAATAGGAAAATATTTTTGTATTTCCAGTTACGTCTCTTACAAACTGAGCTAAGTGTGGAAGAAGTTATTAAGGAAAAGACTAGTAAACTGTTCACTGAGAAATGTAGATCATATTACAAGCCTAATGATTCATGAAGACTGAAATTCAAAACACAGGGTACATTGGAATATTTTGTATATAGTTATATAAATAGATAAAGAATAGCTTTTTAATTTATTTGTTATACTTTATCAGTTCCAGGAAACCTAAACCTAGCATTATGTTGCAATGTCAAAATAAAGAAGCATAAAGTAGTAGTGTATATGAAAACATTATAAAACATTCTATCAAATTTTTACCTGAAACTGTCAAGATATTTTTTTAAGTAAATGGTTCAAGACCGAGCCATTAACATTATTAAAGAAAACAACATATTACATAAATAATTGTTATTAAGCTCTGCACTTAACTAAAACTTTACAAAATATAATAAACTTGTACCTAAACCAATTATAGCATTGCAATTGCTTGTCCAGTGAATTTTAATTAATTTGTAGGTTTTCCTACTTCCGCTTTAGCTGATTGCTCATCATTGTACTTCTTGTGCCAATCCAAGTTCATTTGGTGTACCGATTCACCTCTTTTAGCAGCCGATTTACCTGCTAATACTGCTCCTAAACTTGCGAGAGCAGTAAGGACCATTAAAACATTCGAAATCTTTATCCTCGCTTCACTTCGTGCACGATCAATTACTTCCGCACTGAAATATATGTAACATATCAGGAAATGACATCCAACAGGAAAATGTAATGTTAAGAAAACATTGCATAATATCTATACGAATAAAAAAAAACATTAACGTACGACACAAATGTAGGTATTTCTTCCTTGCTTTTAAATTTTTTCGTCCAAACGAGAATAGTTTTCTGAAAATTTGAAGGTCTAAATTTTCTTGACATCATACGGTCTTCTTTTTTAGGTGCTGAAGTAGTTCCAGTTGCACCAGCAGGCACACACATGCCTCTTGTCAGTAAGAGCATTTGAGCCCTATTTATTAAAAGTTTATTCATTGTGGAAAAAATACCACTAAGAAATCGACCAAAACAAGAATTGAAAATTCACGGGAAAAATAATTGATTTGATAGATAGGAATTTTACAAAGTCAAAGAGTATAGATTTAAATTACATAATTTTTACGTCAGGCAATGTGGCCACTCAAGTAAAAATCGAATGTAGGTATTTGCTTTGTTTGTCTTTAAGAACTTCTACATTCATCATAACCTAATAATTTCCATTTTTTGCCATTTCGGTGCATTAAGATTGAAAATGTCGGAATGAAAAAATATCAAAACCTTGTGGAGTTTTATGCAGCAGACTTAGAAGTAGAGCTGAAATTACAAATTTAACATTATAACAAAAAGGAATGTAAACAAAACCAACAAAATGAAGTTTAGGCACAAACAAAAAATTTTGAATTGCCGGGTTTACCACAGATTCAAAATTTCCAAAATCTCATTTTTAATTTATCTGTACTTTCCCTTTTCCTGGCTTGTCTCTTCTCTTATATACTCTTTGTATAATATTCATTTCATGACGTGATTGCTTTGGAACTGAAATACAGAAAATAATTTTTGTTTTCAGCAAATAGATGTTGGATTGACCATCAAATTGTTACAGGAGATTTGTTTTTCATTTAGCAAGTACGTAATCTATTATATTTTGTTTGTAGAACTCTATATTATAATACTATTAGACAATTTAATGCGACAGACATGTCGACCAAAATCCCGAAATTTTCATTGTCCTTTTGCCTTTCCATTGCATTTTTTTTGAAATTTCACGTATTATCTTGATTTTTTTTGCGTCTTCGCATCGAATGTATATCTCTTTGTACTTAGCTTTCTTTTGTCTGATAGTTATAGTGCTAGGTTAAATAGTATAAAAATAACATTTAATAAAATCAACATTTTTATTATTTTACATTTTCATTGTTAATATATAATTTTTTCGATGTTTTTCTCTTGTTACATTTTAAGTAATTACTTAATAATTAAAATATATAGGGCTGATAATTATTTGTTTATAAATGAAATAACATTGAGTTATTTGATAATCTTTAATTTGACTACACACAATAGTGTGGGTCAGTAATCAATAGTAAAAATTATTACATATTTTCAATATTAGCTGCAGCCTCTTTTCTTGTGCTCAATTTAGAACTCAATTGGATTCCTATTTAATGGACTTTTAGGGCATTTGTTGTTTGTTTGTTTGTGTTTTGTGTATTTGTTGTGTGTGTAAAAGTATGTAGACTGCTTACCTGTGAAAAAAAAAAACACTAAGAAACAATAATAAATTAACATTCATGGTTTATTTAAGACCAATTTTTAAAACAATTATGGTTATTTGAAATCACTTGCAGAGAAAGATGTCCGGAGGTCATAAACATCGTTATAAGAATGTGGGTCTTAGTGCTGACGAGCTGCGTCGTCGCCGAGAAGAGGAAGGAGTGCAGCTGCGAAAGCAGAAACGAGAGCAACAACTATTCAAAAGAAGAAATGTAAATCTACCTGCGCCAAATGCTCCTGATATTGCTTTACAGGTAATCTGTCATTGAACCATTGATTTTAAGTGAAGATAGTCATTTAACTGAACATTTGAATGAAAGAGGTTTTCAACAATTTCTCTGCTTGAATAGACTACCAGTGAGTTACTAAGCTTTAAGTTATTTCATAATTTCTATAGGCATATCTTACAAATTGATATTTTTTCATATTTGGTAACAACCATTTAATGTTATTACATATTTAATGCATTTATAAAAGGTGAATTGTTATAAATAAACATATTTCAGGATGATATCAACATTTCAACCTCTGATGACATCACACCGCAAATGGTGGCAGCACTGTATAGTGACAACCAACAGGAACAAATTGTAGCCACCCAGAAATTCAGGAAGCTTCTAAGTCGTGAACCGAATCCACCTATAGATGAAGTCATACAGACTGGAATTGTTCCTAAATTTGTTGAATTTTTAACTAATAGTTCGAATCCAACATTGCAGGTGAGTATTTATGAACATTTAATATAATTTAATAATAGACATATGTTCATAGTGTATTGTTATAACTATTTTAAAGGTTTTTGTGTATTTTTATAATTGTTAAGCTAGCGCTTGACTATAATCTCACTAGATATGAAGTGATATGGTTGAATTCTTTGTTTGCCATCTCCTATTGGAGGTTGTCAACCATTATGGCAACTTAAACTTGGGACTGAGATGTGGTTGATTGTTACACTGTATTTAGTACTAGATTTCGCCCGCGACTCCAACCGCGTGGAGTTAAAGAAAACATGAGTTAGTAGCATATGTGTTTTTCCAGAGTATCTACATATACCAAGTTTCATCAAAATTCGTTTAGCCGTTTATACTACAAACCCTAACATCTATCCAGCCAAACTTTCGTATTCATAATTAGTATGATTGCGTGTAGTTCGAGGCGGCGTGGGCGTTGACGAATATAGCGTCGGGGACGTCGGAGCAGACGCGCGTGGTGGTGGAGAGCGGCGCGGTGGGCGCGCTGGTGGCGCTGGTGGGCGGCGGCGCGGGCGACGACGTGCGCGAGCAGGCCGTGTGGGCGCTCGGCAACGTCGCCGGCGACTCGCCGCGCTGCCGGGACGCCGTGCTCGCGGCTGGCGTGCTGCCGCCGCTCATAGAGTCAGTTATGACACATTTAGCTCCAGTTCTAGTTCTTTAAATAGCTTGGCGACCGAAGGATTCTGCTATGCCACTCTACACCTAAAATTCTGTTCTGTGCAGTGACTGATTTTCGCCAAAATATCTGAAAAATTCTGTAGCTGCAGCGAAATATTCTGTTCTGTGATACTATGGTGATAACATTCGTGGATTTAAAAAAAAAAAACTGAAAACCCAAAAGCAAAATATGAAGGCATTTGTAGATAATTGTACAATTTGTTTGCATAGCTCTGTATGGTCAAAGTGACCATATATTTATTTTTCTATCGGAATCAACACAAATTTTTATTGTTTAAATGTTTTAGTGTGTATACTAATTCCAATGGAAAATAACAATATTTTATCTTACAGGATCTTAAACAAATATACAAGGTTATCCATGACAAGGAATGCCGTGTGGACACTTTCAAACCTCTGTAGAGGTAAAAATCCTCCCACGAACTTTGAAGCTGTAGCTCCAGGTGAGTGATATTAAATGAAATGGCTACATAAGTTAGTGGAAGTATGTTATAATTTATCTAATATAGATTAGTTTGACTATTCACATGACAATTTAGTAGGGATGGGTTTAAAATCAGGCATGAATTTTTTATTCCCATAGAAGTTGGAATCAATAGATTCATAGTTATAACTTATGAATTAAAGAAAAACCACAGTTTTCTAACAATAATAATGACCTGCAGAACCTTTACAAATTAAGAGAGTAAATAAATATTATTACTACAGCCGAGTACAGAAGAGTACAGTACATATTCAAATTGGATTTCGCTATTAATATTGTCATCGCTTAATTCTCTACACTATAATCAATATTAGAATTGTCCTAATATTGGTTCAAAATTAGTTAATAAAATAATAATTTTAGTTATGTTCGATTTTATTTAAACCGAATATCGATAGTTCATAATTGCTATGCGTGTCTTCGTCACTATCATACCTGTCTATTAAGCACGGCATTTGCCTTTATATTTAATTGGATACTTCATATGCGTCATTTATCAAACTAATCTATCTTATGTAGATTACAATGGGCAATGTTTAAAAATGAAAACGATTAATTGTTGTAACAAAAGATTATACAAGTTATTCAGATGTAGGGACTTCCTTTTAACCAATAGGTACTTGTGGTAGGAAGCCCCGCTCTTCCGTGTAACACATAACGTTGGTGTCAGGTATCCCGGTGCTGGCGCGGCTGCTGCACCACACGGACGCGGACGTGCTGAGCGACGCGTGCTGGGCGCTCTCCTACCTCTCCGACGGCCCCAACGAGAAGATACAAGCGGTCATCGACGCCGGTGTCTGCAGGCGACTGGTTGAACTGCTCATGTAATTGTCTTTATTTGCTTTATGAATTACAAAAAAAAAACTTCTAAAATCCATCCATATTAAATCTAACCATTTGCAGGTGTAATATTAGTATGTTTGACAAAATTCTTTGGCTTCATTGCACCTGCTAAAAATGGCTATATTTTTACTCTTTTAATTTCACGCGGGCGAAATCGCAATCTCTAGTTTGTAATAATCATTAGTATAAATGGGTGTTTATAGTAATAACAGCGTTTAACGGTGTTCAGGCACAACAAGTCGACGGTGGTGTCGGCAGCGTTGCGCGCGGTGGGCAACATAGTGACGGGGCACGACGCGCAGACGCAGGCGGTGCTGAACTGCCACCCGCTGGGCAGCCTGCACGCGCTGCTGCGCTCCAGCACGGAGCCGCTGCGCAAGGAGGCCTGCTGGACCCTCTCCAACATCACCGCCGGCAACGCCGTGCAGATACAGGTCGGCACACACAACTATACAGCTGAGGGGTGGCTATGACCAAGGGAGAGGGCGTTGATGAATGGGGAGGGCTATGATCAAGGGGGTGAGATAATCAAGAGAAGGCGAAGATCAAGGGGAAGGGCGATGAATATGGGGGAAGGTCGATGATGAACATGGAAGACGGTGATCAAGGGAAGGGGACTACAAGGGGGACTAGAAGTTATTGTTTATTCTAAAGATAATGCTCATCAATATATAGAAACGCACAAGTCGCTTTTAAATTAATTCATATAATTATTTTACAATTTTTCAAGCTCTAGAAAGGGAGACAGCGGCCCCTTTCTGACTCTTTCCCACGTGATGCCTTCTGGTGGATTTTATGTAAAGTAGGAGTTAATTTAGATAGATAAGATTGATTGAGTAAAGTAGTACAGATAAAACTATTGAATAAAATATATAACATGTATGTTTGTACTTGCAGGCAGTAATAGATGCGAACATTGTGCCGACGCTGATCGAGATCTTGAGGCAGGCGGAGTTCAAAACGAGGAAAGAGGCCGCGTGGGCGATCACTAATGCCACCAGCGGTGGTACCAGGGAACAAATTAGGTAAAACAATCTGTTTTATAGAGTGTCATAGTTGTCAAATTCAGAAATATATTAGAATAATAAAATAATATTAAAATATAACGGTATGAATGAATGTTTAATTTTAGGTATTTAGTGGAACAAGGCTGCATACCGCCTCTCTGTGATTTGCTGACACTAACGGACCCGAAGACGGTGCAAGTGGCGCTCAACGGACTGGATAATATACTGAAGGCGGGACAGCAGGCGGACCAGCTGAACCCATACGCAACTCTCATCGAAGAATGCTTTGGTATGTCTTTTCAACTAAGCTCAGAACCAGTAATAACCTAATATTCCATACAGGATAATATCTAACACTTGAAAACATAATATTTAATATAGACATTGTATTAATTGAAAAGAAATTAAGTTGAAAGCTGTATTCAAAATACTGACTTCAACTATAATTTCTTGAGAAAATGTATACGTATTGATCTGAGAGTTATTTACTTATTTTTATTGTAAATGTAATACACGAATCTTACTTTTTACTAACTAATGCTATAAATGCTAAAATTTGAGTAAAAGCGTGTTTTTTTTACTAAAAAACCAAGAGCAAAATCTAATACAGTGTAATATTTCAGGTTTAGACAAAATAGAATTCCTTCAATCCCACGAGAACCTGGACATCTACCAGAAGTCGTTCGAGATGATAGAGAACTACTTCGGGTCGGAGGGCGAGGACGGCCGCGTGGCGCCCGTCTCCTCCTCCGACCAGTACCACTTCGCGCTGGCGCCCGACCTCGACCACGCAGACCACGCCGTGCCCGCCGTGCCCGCCGTGCCCGCCGCAGGCTTCCACTTCTAATGTCAGTACAATTCTAGAAAATGTCTAAGAAACCAGTAATAAGAAAAAAAAGTTATAACCACAAAGCCAACTAGGTTGCTGCAAGAATTAAAGCAGCAGGAATGAAAGAAAATAACAAGAAGACACCAGTCATTACACACATCTGTACTTATATATGCTTTATTATATAAAAATGATTTTATTAGGTACTACTTTAAATACATTGCATAAGTATAGCTTCTACTTACGTAAAAAGCTGTACCTTTGCAGCTTAATTCGCGTAACATTATGGAAACTTTGTTTTATTGTTTACATCTGTCAAATTTACAATAAGCAATATGCGCATGACGGCGTGTTGAACCAAAATTTATTAGTCTAAAACGTACCTGTAAAGATTATTTTTAATGTAATGTGATTTAATGCCGAAATGTAATCATTAAAAAGTGTTTTTAAAATTTCCTCGCTAAGTTCTAAAATGCAACGCTATTGGTCTAAGCTAGTGTCTTATTTATTATAGCACCGCTGTGTTGCCAATACACAGTTCATTTACGTTAGTTTATATAGAAATTAACTTTAAAATATAAATAAAAATAATTGTACCAGGAATAATGAAAATTAGTCGATTTTTAACTTTTGAAAACTCTGAGAACCAATGAGATACTTTGTTTCTTTACACATCGGAGTGACATCTGAGAGAATGTGATGAATGAAATGTGACGATTGACGTCATGTGTCTCAAGCCAACTCCGGTCGCGTTTTAGTAGCACGAAAATGGTCGTAATTTTATTTTACTATTTGAGCTCAATGGTTGAATTTTTTCGAGTCAATATTTCTGGTTATCTTATTACAAGTAGAATCGTTTAAAAAATAATAATACATGCATATAAAAACAGAATGTAAGTCACATTTAAAAAATCTTTACAGGTATGTTTTATAGTAATAAAGTACACTTAAAAAAAAGTTTGGTCCAATTTGGTGTCATATGTATATTTTCTATTGTTATCTAACGTCAAAGGCTATGGTTGTCATTATGCATTTCAATTTTGTCATTTGCAATGTAAATTTCAACAATAAAATAATAATAATTGAATGCCGATGAAGCTGCACGGGAATAGCGCGTATTCAATATTTATTTTGTTTGTACAGATATTGGCGCGGATAGATGCCCCCATTCCGGTGATATAACCACGCCGGGAGTGATTGTAGTGTAGGCAGGGCGGCGGCGGGCGGGGGACGTAGTGTCGGACGAGCCGGGCCGAGCCAGGCTGGGTCTAGACATCATTGTAGCCTATTTATCGCGTATTTATCGCTAATTAACCTCGCCTCGTTACTTTTGCTTATGTAGATAAAGGCTATACCCATGTATACGGTGAGATTTTATGTAACTAAGGTTTTTATCAAATATCTTGGTGGTTTTATTAGCGTTGTGAGACATTGTAAGAACCTACAGATACGCAGAAGCGTAGTGTAGAATTTTTGACCCGCCAAGATATTTGAATATTACTATACTTTGATTACAAGTTACAACAAAAAAAAGAAATTGATTACTATGTGTATAATGGTGCAGTAAAACTTATTAAGTAAACATATCACATAAATTCCGTGGATTTGTTTATATATTATGAATTTTAGAAATTTTTATTTCAAACATTTCGACAATGTATTAAAGTTGACATTTTATTGTAATCTATTTTGTATGATCCTGACATAAAATCTCATGGTGTAAGAAACAAATAGTTTAATTATTTTATTTTATTACTGTATATAGAATATATTTTGTTTGCATCTGTGAATATGTTTTTAAACATGCAATGTTTATGATATATGAAAAAAAACATTTTTTATTTGTTATGAATTACATTACAATGGGTATAGAGATACGCCTTATTTGAAATTATCGCTTGACTTTTAGTAATGTGAATTTACGATGTGTATTTACTTTTATTTGCTCACTTTACTATCGACCCTAAAACGCTGAATTAGTAATAATATCCAAAATGTAACACCAATATTATTTATTTATATACAAAATGCAATAAAATGTTTTTCATTGACACACACTGATGTTATTGTAACGTAATACATTAATTTCTGTGTTATTTTTAAATACAATTAAATGAGAAATGTATATTTTTTTTATTGTAAACATCCAGTTTGACGTAATTCTATTAATTTAATGGTATTATAAATATTTAGTTGTGATTATAACATACGAGTTGGTTAAAACAGTTGTTTACTATGCAATAAATGTGTATCCAATATTAAAATATACTTAACTCGGAAATAACATTCAATGTTTCTTTGTAGCTCTTAGAACGCTAATTAATTCCTATTTTTATTGTCTGTGCAATATAAAGGCGGAAATACACATGCCGGCTCTTGCCTCCATTTTACTGGTGTGTGTATTTCCGCCCTTATATTACTATGTATAGCTCTTTAAAAAAAATCCTATTTTCTCAAGAAAATCGCGGAAACGGATGAACGTGAAAGCACAGATAATGTGGAGAACCACATAAGGCTTTTTTCATTAAAATATCTTAGGTGCATTAAGACCAATGGGAGTGTGTAGTCATGTTTTTAATTCATGTTGTTTTTACACATTAAAGACGGAAATTGAAAACATATGTACATTTAAAAAAAAAACTTAACAGACAAAATTATTTAAATCTACATTATTTTTTCGCCATTACCACGTACTATTTTTTATGCACTATTGAAAATCTTGTTTTTTTTCTTCTTTAATGTATTATTGTTGAGTCTATATGAAATGTATCAACAATACAATAGACGAGATGTCGCCCGAAAACTTCGTTAGCGCTAATTTGGACCACCCTTATGTCATTTTGACAGCGCGAAATTAAAAGAGCCTATAGTATGGCTGTCTGTCAGCTAACCTTTAGTTAAAGTTGGATTAAAAGAGGCCCAGCCGCCTCGGAGATTACCCGGAACAAACGCGGCTTTGAACAGACAGACAGTAAATTATCAGCAATGATGTATTTACATCATCATCTTCCCAAAATCTGGAATTTATCTTTTGATACCACAAACAGACACTCCAATTTTATTATATGTATATAAGAAGATATTCCAAAATAAAAAGGAAAATTGGTAAAGTTGTAATAAAACTCGATTTCCAAAAGATACAACAATTTATTCAACATATTTTACGTTTAAAAATAACACGTAACAATATCTTATTTACATACATTTTAAAATCTAAACACATAAATGCTCATAGTAAAATAACATGTTAATTTTATGCTTTCAATGTCAAATCTATATAAAATTGTAAATAGAATATGTAAATTTTTGTCCCTGTAAAAGAGTAAACTAAAATGATCAGTACATACGTATTTACAAACAAGACATGAGGTATCAAGTATCACTAAGTAATTTACCACTTTCAGTGTCACCATTTGGAGTTCATCTGCACATGAAAAAATAAAGGCAAAAATGTTTAATAAGGCACAATTATTATTAAAAATAATAAAGCTACCTACATTATTATATTAGTAGCATAGCGCGTTACAATAATAATGCAGTAGTAAAAAAATTAATCTCTAAACATGACAGTCATATAACATCTTGCAACATATGTGTGTATAAGTTTCAAAAATATATAGTTATCTCAGATTTATGAAGAACAAAAGAGATGACGATAAGTTCTTATACTTTCTATGGAATATTTTAAACAAAACGCACGAGTCAACTGCACAGAGATATAAAACATTACGCACACATTACAAGACAAAATATATTTTTAATACTCATGATAAAGTGTTTTAATTTACAGTTCTTGATAACAAAATATCATCATCATCTCTCTTATCCCACTCACGTGGGGTCAGCGCACGTTTGTTTTATCTACCGTAATGGTTCGGCTTATTTTTTAGATAATACGTTTCAAGTAAATTTAAGTATATAAAGTAAAAATTAAAGAAATGCATTACAATTTGTACTTTATTTTATTTATAAAAAAAATTGAGACTTTACAATCTTAAGTGAAACTTCTTGATGGCAAAGTACCGAAATAGTAAAGAAGAGGGCACCTGGATTATTTTTCTAAATATAAATATTATATTGGAAGCATTTTTTTATCTTCATTATTATACCTACGGAGTTTAACTCACAATGTCTCACAAAAAGAACACTATATCTATATCTAATATTTAATAAAAAAATGGAAGACATTATCGTGTTATTCTAAAGCTGAAATATTATTACCATAGAAATATAATCTATAAAAAGAGTAATTTGTACAAATGACGTGTAATCGAGAGTCGATTTTATAATTCACTTTGTATTGTATTATTTTATTAATTATATTTAAATGGCAACACTGGGGATATTTAATTCTACAAACCTCTATAGGTTTTTTCAAATTCGATTTTGTGCTTCTCTCTAGGTTATGAATCTATTACTTATAATTAAATATGTAAAGAAAACGATCTTAAAACCAAACTAGGGATCCTATTACAAAATTTAGTAATTTGTACACAGTATTATCACAACAACGGCGCAGTAATCTGTCAGAAATTATTGTATTATCTTATTTATCATAATCTCTATTAATCACATTGATTTATCTGATATGTGACAAATTTGTAGTAGCAAAGTCATACAATATGAATATAAATATTTTTCCGCCATTTTGCTTTTTTACAATCACAAAACACATTACAAAATTTTTAACCTGTATTGTTTTACCAACTATTTTCTTGACTTTGTATGTTCAAAACGCAATAAAAACAGATTGAATCATTTTTGGTATAACTCATAATAAATGGCACACAGAAAATACACTTTTAAATTATTTTGCGCATTGTTGAATTTAAAAAACCTCATAAAATATAAAATATTTGGAAACTGGAATCATTAAGTTAATTCAGATTTGTATGAGGAAATATTATTTCCAGTTAATGGCACGGTGAATTTGTAATTAATTTCAAAAGTCGATTAAAGAAGAAAAGTCAAATTTTACACTTAAAACTTACACATGACAAAAGACGTAAAGCTTTATTTTAGACGTTTTAGTTTTTGTTCAATACAATGTAGATAGGTATTTTTAAATTAAACTCTAATATAGCCTATTTTATTACTAGGATTTATAACTATGCCATATCATTACATGGCCATTCCGATGTCATTGAAATGTGTAAGTACTTGTAATAACTTGTGTTCCTTGTGAAGTTCGTCCCAGAACGCCATCCGGTCGTAGAAAGGATTCACTCCTTTCGTGAAGTTAGGATTTAAGCTGAGGTAATTTAGCTCGTCCTTGCTGGTAACAGGGTCCCAAGTTATGTTAAGTAATGGATCATCTTCATCGGGCGTTGGATTTCTGTAATAGTGTAATAACAATGTAGTTTCTTATTCTAATTGCTTATGAGAGGTCATGACCTTTTTTTCCTATGACTGTTAGACTTTTTGTACTACTCCTAATAAATTAACGAAATCCCACATTTCCCATAATTTATTTATTAAAAAGTAAAAGCGCATTTTTTCTCATATCCTGTCATTTCCCCTCAGTATAAGCGGTTTATAGATTTGTCTGTTTGAGAATGTAAACAAATCTGACTAAAATGTTTTAAGAGTCAAAAACAATTTTAAACACAAAATAAATAATTACCCAAATTTGGCGAAATTTGTCCACATTTTCCCTATCTTGCATCTCATCAGCATCGAGTCACGATTACCTTTGCAATCGTTGCCTTCTTTTGATTTAACATTAAAAAGAAAAGGAAGATCGGCTGAATGTCCCGCCTGGTTGAAAAAGTTCAGATATTTCGGAACAGTCCATTCCCCGGTGAAGTTTATAATATAAAAATATATAGGAGTTTCAGGCGCGATTTCTTTGTGCATTTTTATCGTGTTATTCAAGTTATACAAAAAATAGTAATCACTCATGATTTGTGTATATTCGTGTTTATTTTCATCTGCTATGCAGTCTTGCCTTTCGTAGTAAAAGTTTAAAATTTTCTGGCCTATTTTCTTTAAGAATACGTTTTCACCCATCGTTTTCAATAGTGACATTCCGCATTTTATATCGGCGTTAATATACAGATTAGTTTTGAGGTAGTCGAAGACACAGGCTTCAGAATTATGAGCGCCGATTATAAATGGCACTTTATTGACCATTCCAGATTTCAATATTAAAACTGGACTTTTTGATAGGAATACCGGCATGCCTTCTAATTCATCTTCAACGCACGGTTTAAACAGACCATATAACATAAATTCTTCAAATTCTACGTAACTTAGTAGTTTAAAACAAGCGCTCATAATTTCTTCTTGCGGTAAATTTTTCAAAATTCTTACAACTTCTGAGGTATCTGTGCTGGATATATTTAATTTCTTTGCTAATCTTAATACGGCTTGTTTAGGTTTCTTGTCTAAAGCCCAGTTGTTTATAGCACAAGCACTTTGGATAATGGCTTTGTGGAATAAACCGGTCGCCATGGGAGATAGCATCATGTAATGCACTATAGACCCACCGGAGCTGGAGCCGAATAATGTAACATTGTTGGGATCACCACCGAAACATTCTATATTTCTTTGAACCCATTGTAAAGCCATAATTATGTCTTTCAGTCCATTGTTACCCGGCGCTACAAAGTCATTGGTGGAGAGGAATCCAAAAGGTCCCATTCGAAACCCATTTCTTACAAATATTACGCCTTTATCGACCAATACTCTTGGGTCCAGCAAAGGGTCGATATTAAAAACAAAGTTAAATGATCCTATCCAGAACATAACCGGCAGTAATTCGCCTGTAGTATTTTTCGGCGCATAAACTTCTAGATAAAGACAGTCCTCTGAACCAATTATTTCATCGAATAAAAAAGATGCTGGTGGTGACGGCTCCTCAGAGCAATCTAATTCTATGTCCCAAGGTTTAATGGGTACCGGAGGCTAAAATATGAACAGGTATCAATAAAAAAGTCGTTTATGAAACAATCAAGTTAACAAAAGTAATAGCGTAAGATTATTCAAATTAAACAAGCGAAAATTTCCAAGTTGAACAAATGAAGTTACCATATTAGTGTTGGACGCATGTACTATGTACTCCATCGAAATATATCGATATCGACTGTAGTTTGGAGTTTGTCAATTTAAATTGTCGTAATATTAGCATTGTGATCTATCAGCAAATTTAGCTTATTACTTTTTTGTGCTATGTCGGACAAATAAAGAATCCAACATTGATAAAAAATTTCGAACATAAAATTGAACCTTGATCGCATATAACAAGTACAAAATGTTTTAGCCTCAACTAGTTTTTCTTTCTGAAGGTTGTAAAAACTAAGTTTAGTTTAAACATATGTTTAATGGTGTATTTCCTCTATTTCGTTAAATAATTGGCATTCATTATCAATAGTGTTTTTGCCACCCAAATATTAATGATTGCAAAATAAATATGTAATGCAATATGTTATGATAAAACTTGTTATTATAAATATAAAAAGCAAAAGTTGTCATAAAAATAGAGGTTATCACTGAACTTTTGTAAGAAGATTGGTTACTCAACAACATGTCATAAAAACTAACAAACTTGAACTTTGCTCTTAGTTATAACAAAAAATGTTTGTATATGATAATGTATGAAAACTTCATCTTAGCAACTATTCTAGAAAGGTTGATAAACTTCAGTTGTTAGCAATGATCCTTTAATGATATATGTTTTTAAATATGATTTGTTGATTATTTGTTACGACTAATACTTGCAATCACGTTCCTACAAGGGGAGAATGGGGAAATGAACACAGCTGCCTATGTATCAATAAAATTGAAATTTTTACTAAGACTTGAAATTAGTCAGTTGACCGCTTTATCAACTTCGCACGAATGGGCCGGCTTGCCCGGTGCCATACCACGACCACACAGAAAACAGGCGTGAAGTGGAAGCAATTCCGCGTTTTGTCTGATGAGTGTGTTGCCAGAGGCCTAATTTATGTCCCTTTTCCTTTCCACCCTTTTCTTAAGAGGGAAGGATTTGAAGTAAAAGTGGATTTGACAGTGGTGGAGACACATAGGAAGGAGATATCCTCTCCTCTGTTAATTAAGGATAGGCAACACATCTGCAATTGCGGATGTTTATGGGCAGCGGTCGCTTTCCATTTTGGTGGATTTAGGTGGCCACATGCTCGTTTGCCGCCCTACATTAAAAAAGTCTATCATATTGTACAACATAGTACATTTGGTACAAATAGCTAGATCACAACTACTAGCAAAAAACAACACAAATGACATTGGTTGTAATGTTCAATGACATAACATCAATTTTAATATAGCTCATTGACAAACAATTGATTTGTGTTCAAGTATCAACTGCCCTCTTCAGTTTGCTTCATTACCAGATATTTTGATAAGTTATCAGTAAAAGGGCTTTAATTTATCATGCCATAATAATTTATGTATGTTTTAAGAATTTGTATGATATGGATATGAGAATCATTTATATAAAATCTAGCCTTCGCCCACGGCATCAACCGCATGAAATTTAAAAAAAACCTGAGTGGCCCATTTGTTCTTCCAGACTATACTCTACATCTTAACCAAATTTCATGGAAATTGGTTCAGCCTTTTAGACTACAAACTTCAACAAACATCCATCTATCTAAACTTCTGCATTTACCATATTATTACAAATACTAATTATTATTATTTCACGGTTTAATAAAATTTTAGCCAAAGATCATCATTAAACAATAAAAGCATTACATTTTACTTTAGGAATGAACTTGATTACAATTATTATCAAAACTGTATTTATAAAATAAATCTATTTAAATCATTAATTCAGAAATTTTCAGTTATAAAAGTTTTATGTTGACAAAATATAGGTGAACTCTTAAGGGACTTGGTATTCAAAATTGCACCATACCACACCAATTACATCTGTGTAGGGATGGTGAACCAATGGCATGTGCCTGGTATAAATGGTAAACAACAATAATTTGGGCATGTCATCTGTGACATTGACATAAAATTCATTATACACTATGAAGCAAATGTGTTAGTACATTATAGAATGTACCCAAAAAAATTCTAAAACATTTGATGCCTTGATGATTTTATGTATATTTACAAAAATTGCACACTAATATATAAGTGTTCTTCCACTCTAGTCCAATATTTATCCAACAATTGAACAAAACATTGACTTATATAAACATTGATGAAAATAAGAATATAGTTTTAAGTATGTTTTGTAATGTTTATTTAGGTTTTTACTGGATGGTAGTATGAAACTTTGTTTAAACAAAATATTACAGAAAACTTCTTACCATAAATCGTAAAGGCCCAACCGGGGGCAGAGCGTAAGGTATTTTCTTAAACCTATAATATGTCTTGTTATCATTTTTCTCAATTAATCCACATATTGGTCCATCTTTAGTTAGTACCCTGTGTATAGATTCTTCCTGTGTTTCCGACATGGCTACAAGCAATGATTGTCTAGAAAGGTCAAAATTTATTATTATTTACTTAGTATTATAATAACCACTCAAGATAATTTAATTGTTTACAGAACACAAGTTCAGATAATGTTTCTAGATAGTAAGCATTTACAACAGTAACCTCTAAAATCAGAAAACTTTCCAAGATACTTAATTTAATAAATGATAAGGAATCTCTCATATAAATCGATTTTACAATTTTGCAGTAAATTAAAAAATAGCATTTTTCTATAGACATGAAGATAATTTGAATTAAAAGGTATATGAGTTATAAAATAATTAAAAGTGATCCAGTAAATAAACTTCGTTTAATTTTTACACGCGTATATATCCAGTTTACATTTCCTAAAAATTGTAAAAATAGAATTACAACCTACCTTATTTTTATTAGAGTTTTTTCATTGTCAGAACATCAATTTCATTTATAAAATAGTTATATAGTTTATTTTTATACATTTAAGTCATGTTTATCTTGCATTTATCATGTCACTTTATCACTTTAAACCCTTTTTTAAATAATAATTAATCGCTCTCGTATCTTGTCGATTCGGCAATCCACGAATTGATTGATTTAATTCCATTCATTCATGTGTCAATGTCATTGCAAATGTCAAAGAGCATAAAATACAGAATACAGAATTAAACAACAGATTATAATTTCCAGTTTTTTTTTTAGGGATATTTTTTATTTATAAAGGTGAACAGCAAACATGAACAATTTTATGATCACCGCTGTCCTAGAAAATTTGAAGTAATGTCATAGTAAATCACGCGTTTCGTGCTGCATATATTTATTTGCTTGTGCAACTACTACTGAGTGCATGCATGTTTTTCTTTTTACGTACTATTAAAAAAAGAAGAACACTTTCTCTTCCTGATGCGTAACTAAAACAAGCACTGGCAGCATGTTCACTTAAGAGTGCCACGTAAATATTAAATTATTTATGAAACAAATGTTCATTAGTTAGTGGTTTTGTAATTTATAAAAAGAATAGGGTTTCAAAAGCAAATTGATTTTAATGCATTATTGTATTTACATATTTTTTGGTACATGTTATGCGTTTACACTTTTTTTAATGAGCATGGTATAAGAATTCATTTGTTACAAGGACAATGTTTGCAACTTTATTTTCTTACTTTTGTTTGGTCTACTTCGTGATCGTAAAAGTCTCTGAGTAATTGTTGATCTAGTACCGCTTCATCGCAATATTTCATCTTCAGATAATACGACATACGTATTTCGCGAGCATCCTTTGCCAACATTTCTTTGAATGCCGGCGTACTGATCAGATTTGCGAAGAATTTTCGATTACTTGTGAAATCGGGGCTAGAACCCACAGTTGTTTTCATTGGGTAGTTCACATAGCCATATAAATTGTCCATTATAAAGCTGTGAAAGCAATAAAAATTAATTATTTTTATGCCTATATTTTCTGGTTATGAGCATCTTGAAAGTGACAGGAATAGATTTTGAGATAATTAGGAAATTTTGTTTGCTGCACATTCATTATATGCTAAGCGACGTGTGAATTTTGAAAATTGAGAATTGATTACGAAATAATAGCGCCCTTACTGCGCGGTAATTTAGATATATTTCATTTTTAAAATCGAAAAGTAAGAATCGTTTCGTTAAATAATTTTTCTCATTTCTCTCGATATCTGCGGCTTATTTACTTATAGATAGCAAGCAGTCGATAAGCTTTCATTTGGGTTGCACACAGTTGACGATTTCTGGCTGTCATTGTTAGATCTTATCTCATTGTAATATATTTTTTTATTAATCATAATATGAACGTTACTTACTGTTCGTTTGGCATAAAAGTTTCCACGCACTGTTGGAACATTGCATAAAAATCATTAGCGATACCAAATGCTATCGAAAAACCAGTCAGAACTCTGTAATATTCAAATGATAATATTTTAACGTTACATTAATATTAAAAATCAAATAAACAAAAACCATCACCTTTCATCTATTGGTTTTATAATGGTCGGTGATGCCAAATTAAATAATTTGAAAGTTGTTAAAATTATAAATAATCTTATTCGTGCCATGTTACCATTTGGCATACAGTGTGTTTTACTATACCCGTCACTACGTAACGTTAGTGTTGTAAACATACAAAAGGCAAAAGAAAATACTAATTTTTCAATTGTTTTTATTTCTTGTTATTTTCACTGGTACTGTATAGTCATTGTTATTAAAAATACGAGAAACAGATGACTTGGTGTAAAAAGACATCATTCGTACAAAACGTGACCGATATCTCGCATCTCATCTTAGATATTAATTTTAAGCAAATCATCTTTACTGTAAGCTGTAAAATACGTGACATTTTTTATAAAGAAAATTGGACTAACAAAATAAAATGTTTTTTTTTGTAATTTAATCTATCGTCATTATTAATTAACAAATATTCACTTCGGCGTTCTTTTAGGTATTTTTATTGAATCGCGACACAGCAATTGCATCGTATTTTGACTGAAACATCATTTGAAAAAGTGTTTTTATTTTGTCTACACAAATATAGGTTTATAGAATAGTTTTTGGTTTGCAATAAAAGTAAGAAAGCAAGTTTTTTAATTGTAAAGTAATAAGGTCAAGTTTATAAGACTTTCCTGATTGAACAAAAAGATGTCGTTTCTTAGAAATGGTCTTTAGACAAAAAGGACGCAAAAGTATTTTGAAACATAATATGGGTCGCTTTGACTACACTATACTCGTTATTTGAGTTCAGTTTTATAAGTGAATAAAATTTACTTTCGATATTTCACGAGCTACGATAAATTGGATTCCATATCGCTCATACTCGATTCGCGGCGTAGATGTGGCAAATATAATCGTTGTTCGAGAAGAGAAATTTCTGTGGAGTATAATTTCGGAGAGAGAGAGAGACAAAGATAGGGACATTTTGTTTAATTTTAAAATACATAAAAAACAGAAGTCTCATTTACTATGCAGACAAGAAAAAAATATTATAACACTCTTAATGAATGGTTGATTTTTTATGGTAAATGATTTATTTGCTTACATTTGAACAACGAAGTGAGCACAAAATGTAATAAACAATGAGGACTGAATAATTAACAGGCATGTATTGTGAGCGCGCGCCACCAAACTTTACGGAGTCGTAATTAAATTTGGGAATTTCACTGTCAACAAATATTATAATTTACGCTATATGGAAATTGCGAGAATATTATATTTAGATGTATATAGATCAATTAAATTATATGCGGTGCAAAAGAATCTAAAGAAATCAATAACTTTCTCTCTACACAGAAAATCAGATAGTTAGTTTTGAAAATGTATGTAAAACTTATATGATGAAAATAAAAAAAAACTTTACAACTTTTCATAAGGCTTTCAATTCATAGAGGAATGAATTTAAATATTGTTGAAGTCGCAGCAAATATTAGATCGCGCACCCGATTGAATGGGAAACAAACATCGTCTTCACATAATGTAAGTGAAATCGGGGGCGAGCGGGCCCGATGAGGAAATTATTATTTTTCCCTTACCACGGGCGGCGAGGGAGTTTGCATTTCGGAATGACGTTTGAAATAAATTTCCGCCGTCTCCGGGCGATGGGGCGTTCGATTGGAACATTGGCCCGATCATAATTAATTCCGTTAAACCGCATCCGGGGCGCACCTCTCGAGGCAATGCGGCGGGCGCTCTTCACGATTGGTATTCACGATTTAGGTTATTGAATTGTATGTTGTTTCTCTATGAATCTTTTAGTACTTTGTCAGCTTTTGTTACTTTATAGTTTAAACTGTTGTTTTCAACAAATAACAGAAAAGCAATAGGTATGTATTGCCTACATTAAAAATATCTGTTAGGTAATTTTAGTAAAAGTATTTGCTGTCCACGTAAGTACCTAATTAGCTAGTTGGGTTGAGGAGATGGGTTGAGGGAGGGGATATAGGGATTCGGACAAACGCTATTAATTAGCTGAACCTTGATCTGTCACGTGTTTGGACATCGCGCGATGTGTCAATCGCACTCGGTGCCGCCGGCCGTGACGCTCCGGCCGCCTAGCAATTAGTTTAAGCTGCTTACTGGACGTCCCTTATCTCATACAGTTCACACAATTAGGATTCACAGATTAATCACTCTTATACGAGAACTGATATTCCGTGTGAGTATAATATCTGGTTTGTATCAATAAGGTATTTCACGTATTTACTATTCTATGATTAGATCTAGTCTTATTGGTGTCTAGCCTGTGGTTAAATAGCTATTGATACTGAAGGAGGTTTATTTACATTAATAGATGGATAGAATTATTTAAAAAACTAAGAAAAGCTGTAATGTTTAATTCTTCTTCAGATTATAATAAAATAAAACTCATTACAGTTTGCAGGTTGGTTGAATAGGCACTTAAAATCAGTTTGAAGTGTCCAACCGCAACACCGACATTGTGGGGCGATGTTGACTTTAGACACCTATGGCACTAAATCGATATGTAAATTTGCGTTGTCCAATAACCTGCATGTGAATGTAACTTCACAAATTATGTTTACGGCTTATTAATATGTGTAGACTTCAAAATTAAGACGTAGTTAAAAATATCAAGTGAAAGAGAAAATAATTACTGATTTTTGTTTTTGTCCTGTCTAAAACTTTTATCTCTATGGCAATATTAGCCATCTTGTAACAAATTCGTCAAGTTTCCCGAAATCTCGGTGACGAACATTCTCCCCGCATCCGCACCTTTATTGAATCACGACTTCAATGTTTATGACATTTTCTTATGTTTACTTGCAGAAAATTTCTCTTCTGTTTTTCCTCTGCATATTGTATTATATATAAATGAAGAAGTTGATAAAGATGTAGTTAATAAAACAATTTTATCTGTAATGTTAACATATAAACATAGAAGATTATATATTATTTCATGAGAGCTAATGTACATAGACCTTTTCTCCCTTTTCTATTGAGATCCAATTAAGTTTTGGAGTACAACCGAGTTAATACTGTAGATACTTATATAAATATTCTATTGTATAGATGGGGTCGTTAGCAATAAAGATGCTATCTGTTATTGCTTTGTGCATGATAAGAAACTCATTTGTGGCGTAGTTTTCTCGGTTGTTATTGCGTATATTTGCTTATATATTATTTTTATTGTATTACGTTTATTAAACCTTATTTCTAACTATTAAATCACGTAGAAACATCATTATATTAATCTGTTTTATTGTGTGATCTTGCTAAGGAAAACCTTAGAATCCCGGAAATGTGTGTAAATATTGTTACTCAGAAGTTAATATAGATAAGTAAGTAATGAGCTTTTTCGTATTTTGTAAAAATAAATGTAGCTAATGTACAAGGTGAATTGAACAAATTTGTCTGCAATATAGAGAGGTGTTTTATATTTCTAGTTAAGATTTAAAATACTTTATAATTTCAGAACTAGATGGCGTTATATTTAGTTTTATAAAAACAAATACTTAGGTAACTTCTATTGAGATTCTCTGTAATTACAATCGTAAGTGAAATCAAGGTAGGATTAGCTTGGTAACAAAGTATAATTTTCTTAAATCTAGAGTAAATCGTTATTT